TGATACGTTTTGTGGTGGTCGAAGAGACGTTATCCTATTATTTTTCATCGTGAGTTTGCATTGAAAGCATTTAAAGCGATACAGGTGTGTCAATATGTCGAAGATAACTCAAATTAATTTATGGATTAAACCTTTTCCTGAACTTATTCTTCAAGAAGGAACTGTGTTTTGTCACGCCTGGTCTAAACCAGCAAGTATTTTTACATCTGTGGACGTAGTACGCAGTTTTTCTATTTACAAATACATAATACTCTAGATTCACCGGAAAAACTTTTTGTTAGAAGATTTCGAAAAATATTTAAAAATAAATTGTTACCTAAATAGTAATTAAATCGTCGATTACTGCTATTTTTTAATTTGTTCTGTTTATATTTATTTTTTAGTATAAGAATATTATCAATAAAAATGTGATTTGTGTGTTAATGAGATGTAATTAAACACTTTGCAATGTGATTTATGTATTTTTTGTAATAAAACGTAAGCTCGGGAAACCTGTTTTTGTAATTTGTAAATAAATTTAGTTCGCTTATTAATCTTTTTTTTTAATTTTTGGCGCAGATGCAACTGCATATCTCTGCATATATTAAGAAAGTTACTGCATATTTGCATAAATTTGGTGCATATCATATGATCATATTTCCCAAAATTTTGCTGCATAGTTTCCGCTCTCTACGTGAACCTTATAGAACCCGTCTCCTTATTCTAACAAACGTTGGTTTGCCGTACAAACCGTGTGCAAAGTAGTTTCCGAAATTCCTGAAAATTTAAATAGGAGATCTAAACAGGTCATTTAAGAAACAATATATTTCAGCATCGTACAGTAGCAGATTTAGTAGCTTTCGGTGCTTCGCAATTTGTGCAGTAGCATTACAATTTGATTTTTATTTTAGTACCTTTGTACTGTAAATGTTATTGTTGTCAGTCATATTTAGAAAAGCTAAGTTTTCAGTTCTTGTAATTTTCATAAAAGTGAACCCCATTACATTTTTTATTGAAGAATTTTTTATGTTTAAAATAAAATTAAAATTCATAAATTATTAATAAATTTAAAAAGGCCCTTTGACATTGCCACAAATTTTAAAAAAATGTCAAATTGCTGTTAATTTTTTTGAGAAAAAAAATCACACGATTGCGGAACCTACAGCTACTTACCGACCGGTAACTGTAGGAAAAATCTTTCTTTTTTTTTTATTGTACTGGTGCGGTTGCAGTGAGGAGTAGGAAGGTCACTGTGACCCCGTCCAGGTTTTATTAGTAAAAAAAAGTAGTTTATTTCCAACAGGAAATATAAAAATTAGAACAATTAATTTTAAAGTGGTTGGTTAAAAATAAAAATAAAAATATATAAAAATTGGAGCTAAACTAGTACACTTAGTATATGAACAAATTATAACATATTACCAATCCAAATTTATGAGTCTTTTTGTAAAAAAAAAAACTGAGTGTGGTCAATTATTTAATTAGAAAATCTATGTCGTCTTCTTGGGTTCTCTTTTCCTCAAATCACGAATTGGCAGATTTTTGGGATGTTGAGGATAGAGTAGCTCAGGCAATAAACAATTGTAGTAAAATTGTTCAAGACGGTATTCCATTTTTTGTGACCAAAATACGTCGTCTCTGGAAATCTGTAAATGAAAGGTAAACATATTTTTTTGTTTTGATTATACTGATAGCCACTAGGTTCTATATATGATCGTAGCATAATATTTACCCTTTCAACTTCTATACCGAGAGGTGTCCATATTACAAAATGGCAAATGTCACGCCTCGTAATATGCAATTGGCCCTGAATCTGAAAATAGTAATCGGAAGATTTTTTTAGTTGTATTTTCCCATTATTTGAAGTGCAATATGCAAGCTTTTTTTGTAAAATTGCATCTATTGGTGTCATCTGAGCCGCAGAGTAGGGGCATTTAATCTCTATGATGGCGTTATTGCCTATTAATCCATCTGGAGATGCGGCCAAAAATCCAAAATTAGCGTCTATAAACAACCCGCAAGGTTCAACAGTTACATCGTTCGCAATTGTGTGTCTTTGGTTCCTGTGACAACGTCTTTGCCCGAGCACATATGAAGCAGTATTTATTTTTGATGCCCAAATAAAGAATTTTTTTGGTACGTTGACCAATGATAACTCCCTAATAAAAAATTGAAATGAAATGCTTCTTGTCTTTTGCGATGAATTATAGGTACTCACGACTCCTGAAGGTGCGTTATAATTTGTCTTGTAGGAACGTTTACACCACGCTCCATCGGCAATGACAGTAATTTTTGGGATGCCATCGTTATCAATGTCACCAGCGTCTGTTGCTAGTTGCGCTTCTTCTTTCCCGGCTAATAACATTAAATCATGTGCTGTTTCATAAATATGAGAAGCCACATCACTTTGACAGTGAGAAAATGTCCGAAAAGACATACAGGGAACATCGCAAAAAGCAAGAAGTTCTTCTAACTGCGAATGGCCTCCTCCGGTTGAAATTGTTCCCAGTACTGCTGCCTTGTTTATATCCATATGATTTGGTTCAATTTTATCCGTGGAAACGATGGCAACTTCTTTACACATAGAACATTGCAGAGTAAATTTGCTGATTAGTCCTATTCGCAACTCTTTGACAATGCGTAAATGGCACGCACCGCATTTAAATAATTCGAGATGTTTGAAGCTTGTAATAGACTCGAAAATAAGTTTAATATTGTGGTGAGATGACAAATTATTCTTCAAAAATGAAGAAAAACAAAATTATCAAAGTCCCCTCTTTTACGGAGAACCAGAAAAAAATCGAATATTGTAACGTTATAGTGATTAGACCTGTGATCGTCATTTGTCGCAACTTAAATAAAATAAAATTTCACTTACCCTACGTTGTGTCTTATTAATAACAATTGCACTAATATTTTAGTTGTTTTCTTTTCGCAAAATTTACCACTAAATTTCCAGATTTGTTTTATAAAGTAGTGTCATAACGCATGGGAGAACATGTTTTAAAGACAACACAGAATTATATTTAATTTACAAATTTATTAATTAAATCACAGAAATCAACATATTTCCAGTCACAGTTTCGGAAATTAAAGATAATAAAATAACAGAGGCAATACATCAATATTGTACCCCTAATTATGATTTGGTCAACAAAGAGAGGTCATTTGTGTGACTAAGAGAATTTTTCTTCAACAATTTTCAGAGAGTTAGTGTTTGAATATTTTTAAAACAAAGTATTACTAACTATTATTATTTACTCTTTACGAGTTTCCCCATCTAGTTAAGAGTTTTTTTTTTTATTGTTATAATTTCTTTAAGTTAATTGTTTTATTTATTTGTTTTTTTCTTAAGTAGATGAGCGGTAAGAAACCAAATTTTCAGCCCTAACAACAGGTACATTTAGCCGCTCCGATCCAAGAGAAATGCAAACGACCAACAAAATAATAAATTTCTCTAATTACATCAAATCGTGACGCTGCCACAAGTTTACGCCCTATCATCCGAAGTTACGCTGTCGACAATATTTCGCTTTCGCTTAGCGCTTATGAAAGGGTTAATTCATGCCACAAGTTTAGTTTCGCCCTAGCAACGCGAGCAAAATCGAGTATTAGTTACGCTGAGCAAAAGTTACGTTTACGCAATGCCTTACGCTCACATGCTATCTCGCCAGGTGATGATTAAAAAACATTTCTCGGAACGAGGCGTACCAAAAGAACCGGCGATTTATGTGGACGCGCCTCGGCGAATTGCGATGGGGTTGTAACAACGGCACCATCGACGAATTGGCCAGTTTATTAACGAATGACTCGCTTACATAAAAAAAATGATGTTTTGAGCGGGAAACGGGGCTTCTATAGTTATAGGACGTTTCTAGCGCTCTGTTAATTTTTTGAGAAACAACTTCCTTTTTTTTGTTTCTGTGTTTTTTTTTGTGTGTGTGTGCTTTGTTTTGTGTATCCCGCGGTGGCAAACGAGCTCGTAATTTCAGGCATTCAACAATTAGCAAAGACGGTCCACGTTAACACAACAAAAAAAAAATAATCAAATTAATTTATGCAATGCAGTAGTACGCATATGAAATTTACTCATTATGCGTCCAAGTTTTGAAAGTCATTAAATTCGTCCTCATTCTTTTTTATATCCTACTAGCGCAACCCGGCAGACGTTGTCCTGCTTGTGTATATATTTACTTTGTATATATGTGGATATAAATGTATGGTCTGGAGCGCATAATTGTGTCGTATGCAAGTCGTTGATTCTTTGTTAAGAGCCTTTTCTGAGTTTCAACATAAACTTGTAGCGCATCGACGTTGTATTGTTTTTCTCGCAATACGTCTCTATCGATAACATCGTTTCTGTCACGTTCCGGTGAAAACAGCCCAAGCTGATTGAGGATTTTGTTGTTAATCGACATACACACATCCTCAAGTGATATCAGTGCTTCATTGAAAATGTCTTCCGAATACTGTACATCCAAGCCGGGATTATTTCTGCGTGCTCGGAGAAGTATGTCTTCGCTCATACTCTCTTTGTGTTTTTCCCATAAACCTTTCGGATCAGAAGGTGCGCAGGTTGTCAAAATTATGGCAAACAGAGTTCGTATTTGATGGGCATGACATGTCTCAGATGCTTCCGCTAATGTGTTGTCCCAATGTTGATCATTTTCAAGCAAACCAAGTTTAAAACATGCTTCTCTGTATGTCTCACACTCTTGACCATCGATTGTTTTGATTGCTTGAAACGATGTTGGTCCTTTGACCACGTGAAGCAGCATTCGCAAATACTAGCATTCACCATTATTTGGATGAACAGAATATACTCTTCCCAGTGCACCAGTAGAAAATATGCCAGCTATAGAAGAATGCCTGGCGTCTCGTTTTCTTCTGCAAAATTTCTTCGTCGATTGATTCCAAGTGTAGTACTGCGGGACTTCGTGATACATTAATATTTTTGCGAATTCGTCAGTTGCACACAATTGGAAAAAAGCGGTCAACGTTGTATTTGGTGGATCTGCAACTCATTGGGGTGCGTTGTCTTCCGTGAAGTAGACTCGTTGACCGTTTTCCAAGTGAACACTGAGATGCATGACAGCAGGAAAGCGTTCATGAATGTCGAAACTAAGAATTCTCCATACAGCTTCATTACTGCTAATATAACGTCCCATTTGAAATTGCTCGTTTTCATTGACGGGCGCATTGGGATTCGCAATTCCGAAAATTGCCATATCGCTGCCTTTATTCACGTATTTACATATGTATTTTATTGACTTAACTGAATTACAGGACTCCACGTTGATATGTGCATTGAATGATTTCGAAAGGATAGGAGAGTAGGGCATAATCCATCGATTATCAACTTCGAAATCAACGTTATTGATTTTGATAGTTGTGGTGTATCCTCCATCATCTGGTTTTCGTCGTCTGTACAACGGATAACCGTCGCCACCAGTTTGTGTTTCTTGCAGCAGCTGGCGTGGATACTTTTTGGTGCATTTTCCGTCTTTCATGCATGGCGAGTGTGGGTTGTGTCCCCCACATGGTCCGTGAATCATATTTTTTTTCACAATTTCAAATAATTCTGGATCTTCTTCTGCGTTGGGCAGCTCAGCAGTAATGATATCATCAATTTGAGTTGGAACAATTTTTTCAACCAACCAAATTAAGATATGAGCATGTGGTAGACCTCTTTTCTGCCATTCGATGGAATACATCCAACAGCGAGTTTCTCCAGATATATGGTTCTTAGTGATGAGATCCATAAAACGTATCAATTTTTGTTTGAAAACTCTCGCTGTGAGGTCATGCCGATCAGATGGTTGTTGGGCAGGCAAAAGTAAATATTTGATTTCACACCAAGATGGATTGCATGTGAACGTGATGAAAAGATCTGGACGTCCATATCTGAGAACATATGTCAGAGAATCCTGAGCATATTCTTGCATATGTCTTAGACTTCCAGTATACGAAGTTGGAAGTATAACCGTTTGTCCAATGTTACCAATTGTTCCATCATTCGCGATTGCATCTCGCAAATGAATATAATCTTCGACTCGAAGCTTCGATTGATTGTAACGAATGTAATTGAGTCGTTCGCTTTCGACTTTGGCGTACATATCAACGATGAATTGTTGAAAAACATGACGACACTTTAAGATATGGTTGGATTGTTCGACTCGAATCATGATGCGATATGCATAAAAATCCATACAACTGACTTTTTTCGTTGTCGCAGCACCTGTGACGGGATGAGTTTGATACAATTCGAGATGATAACCGTCTTCTCCTCGCGGAAATAGAATTGGATATTGAAGTGCGTCGTAAGATCGATGTGTTTCAGCAATACGTTGCTTGGTTTGATTTCGTCTGCTGATAACAATATTTCGCCGAGTAATTTCTGTACCGACAATTACAGCTGCTACTTCAGGGGCTATTGGAGCATTGAAGCGTCTTTCATGCTCATTCGATGGGGTTTTGTCTGCTCTAATAATGAGTTTGAAGTCATCGCTCTTACATTCTCCAATGCGGATTTGAAATCTCGGACCAAATAGTTGTGCTCGTGGAATAATGCTCGTAATTCAGCAATAATCTTTCGATGTTGCTACACTAAATGCGCATCGTCGATCAATCTCCTTCTCCACATTGTCCATGAAATAAATTTGCAAAAATTGCGGATCTTCTTTGGATACTGGAAGGAGTGTACCAATCTGATGATACACTTGTCCTTGCACTTTAAATGTGGGCATAAAATTATTATATCTCACAATATTCGTCGCTCCAAACGATGTCATCTGAAAGCATGAGTTGTATTTCCGAATATGCTGTAGAAAGTGTTTGGACTCCCGAGTAACTCCAGCAACGTAAGTGAGCAGTGGTTCTGGTGGTTCAGTCAGTGGTGGCAAACTGATTTTGAGGTTGGAGCAACACATGCCAGGCGCTTCTTTTTGAAACTTCAAAGTGCGACAGTGTAGACACAATTTAGTCATCGGACCAATGACAACATCGCGATGCATTTTGTAGTCATATCGTAATTGAACGCTGTTTTCTTGAGATCGATTCTTGTTCTTGATCGAGTCTGCCGTGAGCGTTCTGCTTCACGTCGTGTGTCTCGCTCTTCTGGTGTTGCAGAAGCTCTTGACGCAGACGCTCTTGCTCGAAGATCTTAAACACGTACATCATGCTGTTGTGATGTTTCGGCAGCTCTTGACGTAGAAGCTCGCACTCGCAAGTTTTCAACTCGTGCATCTCGCTCTTCAGATGTTTCGGTAGCTCTTGACGTAGACGCTCGTACCCGCAGGTTTTCAATTCGTGAGTTTCGCTCTTCGGGTGTTTCGGCAATTCTTGAAATAGAGGCCCTGATCCGGTCAGTTTCCAGTCGCGTGTTTCGTATTTCAAAGGTTTGACCAGCTCTACTGGCTGCCACTTGCTGCGCATGTCTGGTTGATCTTCCAATGTTTGATTTTTTGGGTGGCATTTTCAATAATCTCTAGTAATTCACTTTTTGTTATTACTGAGGATTATAGACAGTGAACATCACTAATTATTTTCTTTTGCGGTCAATACGATTTTTGTTGTAATACCAACGAAAACAATGTTGTCATTGGTCCCGCCATATATCTAATACTTGCTAACTCTTCAGAAGTAACATAGAAACGGTGTTCACGGACAAAGGGAGACGGAAGATATTGTTTTCTGTCTAGAAAAGTACCGAGGGTCTGTGCGCACGTACACAAAATAGAAGCGAACGTATGAAATGTCAAAACACATCTAGTCACGTTATCGACTAAAAATCAAGCAAGTACGAGTATATGAGCAGTACTGTTTGGTACTATAGAGAGACAAAGAGGTCCGATATATTGCTCTGCCGTTGTGTTTTCGGACTCTTTTGAGGCCTGATAGCAATATAGTAGTATTAGATATATGGGTGCCGCTGATTCTCTAAGTTCATAATACTTTAACAGAGAGGTTGATGTGCTGCAGTGCCATCTAGTGGCAAGTTACAGCAAAATCGATAGCGCGAAAATATTCTCCATGGTCAAATACCAACGTATATCAATTTTCATGAGGATCGGTTGATTGGTACAGAAGTTGATGTGTTGCAGCGCCATCTAGTGGCGAGTTACAGCAAAATGGATAGGGCGAAAATATTCTCCATAGTCAAATGGCAACGTGTACCAATTTTTATGAGAATCGGTTGAACGGTGTAGAAGTTGATGCGTTGTAGCGCCATCTAGTGGCTAGTTACAGCAAAGCGGATACCACAAAAACCTTCTCCATGAAAAACCACTTACATGTACCAAATTTCATGGTGATCGGTCAAGCGATTTCGGAGTCTATCGATCACAGATATATATACCAACATCCATTTTTATATATATAGATTTGTGGTGAAACCCCTTTCTTTTTCTATCAATTTCTTAACTGCTCATTTTAGATTTTTCGTTCATGTTATAAAACCTCAGCAAGTAATTTAACCACCAAATAAATTTCAGATAAATTTTTTTTATGTTCCTAAATTTTGAAAGTGGACAACAAAAAGAAATGACATATTTAAATTTGGATAATGGCAATTCTTTTCCACTCAAGGCTTAATTCAACAAAAAACATTTTATCAACATTATTTGTGACCTACTGGAGTAAGTTGATTTTTGGTTGTTTTTGAAAAAAAAAAATGACTAAACACGTCTAAGTGTTCAGGATTGACGATTTTTGAATTACCTGTGAATACTGTTGTACTGCAACGAAAGAACCCTCTGGGTAACTTCACTAGCACCAAATTTTAACTAACTGAAGTTAACACACAATTTTTCTTTTTCACGAACTACGCAAACGGCTTTTAACCCCCAGAAGGCAAAGTTAAAAAGTTCCTTTCTTTCACCCTACTTTTACTTAAATAGTGACGCCAAAACTGGAGACGTCGCAGTACCAGTGGGGCAAAATTTTGCGAATTCTGTGCCGTGATTGGCTCATTAGCTGGCTTAAGCTCAGCTCTTCTACTCCCCTCTCTTAAATTGACCGAACCAATTTTATGTAACAATCTAATTATTCATTATAATCGTTTATGACAATTAATGTCCTGAAGTTTACAAAATTGTTATCCAACAATATCCGTTGGATAACTGGCGTAATCAAAAGTTATAATCACCGAATAAATCTATACAAACTTATTTCCCAAAAGTTGTTGTAGATGCGTTTTTTTTTTTGACAAATTTTACAAAGCATTGACACTGAAATGTCTACAACAAATTTTGTTTATTATTCCTGAAAGAAAGATTATTGAATTTAAATCGATTGTTCTGTGTAAAGGAAACTGGAATAGTTGTTAAACTACCCTCTCAAAGAGGTCGCCCCTTGTCTAAAATCGAACTGCGCAAAGAAAATCGATGATTTTTCCTATTTCCTCACACCCAACTAAATTGTTAAGCTATGTTATTGCTGGGCGACAATCGTTTACACCTCTCGCCTACAATTTTATACCTGTCTCTATCAAAAAGGGTTGACTCTATTCTTGAACAGCAGAAAAAGATATTCTAATTTCCATTCAAAATAATGCTATTATTAAGTTTGAACCATTCTAAACCTCATACCTACATGACATTAAAATTAATGGGATAAAATAATAAAAAATAAAACAAATAGCTAACTAAATTCTGCCCCTTGATTGTCGCCTCACGCAAAGGGTTGAACTAAATTATTGAATTTAGATCTTCTAAACAAATCAGAAACAAATTATTCCTTTCAACAGATTTTTGTTTTTGTGTTTATCTAATTGTTTCCTAAATATTTCAATTATTTCATGTTTAACTAATTGACTGAACCTGCACTGTAATCTGATACTTTTTCACATTTCGCGGAATGCAGGGCCATCTGCACCCTTATTGGGATCAAGTGGATGTTGACGCTGGGAACCTGTCGACTTTGGCTACGCTTTATTATCGCGCATATGTGCATTACAGTGGACCATCCCAAAGTGGCCAATTGTTGCAAACTCACTAATAAATGGCTAGAAAATTGTTACCGGTGATTTCAAGTTAACAGAATTTATTTAATTCTAACTGGATGTGTTTATTTATAATGTTTAGTGTACTTAAACTTTGAGATTTAAAACTGAACCTTCATTTAATTTTAAAAGACAAGAGCAAATATCACAAGATCAATTATTCATGTTGTTATTACACTTTGACTTGCAATTAAGGTTATTTGACTAAATTTGACGATTGCAATTACTTTAACAGCCGCTGAAAGGGAATATTTTAAACACTGCACTGGAACCAATATGCATCTGGACGATTGGACACACCCCTAAATTTTAACACGACGCAATACTTATTAAGTGGATTTCGTAGCTTTTACGATTTCCAGAAATCCCTAACATTTTTTTTGGCGCCGTGTGCAACCGAAATTCTGAGAAAGAAATAATCTGGTCCTACGCTAACATGCATACAAAATTTCTTAAAGTGACCCATGACAGATATTTTCCAGATCTACGAAACACATGTGTGTTTGCTTAAAATTTCAAGTCGTAACGTTCAACATACGTATTTTTCTCAAATCGAGATCAAATAATTGCACTATTAAATGATTGGCCGCTCGGTATAATTAAAATATACTGGCGCTTACCACAACATCCACAATTCTTCTACCACAAATTTCGTAATCACTTGACGGATTAGAAATATTTTCAATTTCAAGTTGACTGCTACGAATAACAAAATTCTTACAAATATGCAGATAATTTAATTTCGTAACTTTACCTGGAACTTGGTTCATCAAATTCTCCTGTTTCAGTTCGTTTATCACTAATTTCGTAATCACTTGACGGATTGCAAATGCTATCCACCTCTAGTTGATTGCTGCGAATAACAAAATTGTAACAAATGTACATTGTTAATTTTTATTCCGTAACTTTACCTGCAACTTGGCTCAACAAATTCTCTTATTTCTGTTTGAATGCGTTTATCATTTATTTCGTAATCATTTGACGGATTACAAATGCTATCCACCTCTAGTTGATTGCTGTGAATTAACAATCTTAACAAATGTGCATTGTTAATTTTATTCCATAATTTTACCTGCAACGTGGCTCAATAAATTCTCTTACTTCTGTTTGAATGAATTCACTTTCAGAACACTTTTTTTTAGATATGCGTTTTCGGCTTTTACGCCGTACGCTTAGCCGCGGATTTTTTTTCAAATTTCGGTCACCTCTCGCCATGCTGTCTGTACCTACTACACTGCAGTTGCACGTTTTCTGGTCTGCAATCTGCATCGACCATAATAATTTCCAGATGTTTTTCTTGGGTTTTTTCAGTTTAGGGAAACATTTGACCAGTCAAGTTATACAGACAACAAAAGGCAGCTAAGAGCTGCCGACACTATTGGGGAGATGCAGTGGTTCTGTTTCAAATAACTCCCTCTACACGCCAACCCGTTGGCAGCAGCTCGAGCTGCTGATACCAAATCGTATTGTGCAGATGTCTAGAATTTTGCAAAATACAAGCGCATTGTTAACTTTTTACAAATTTTTATTAACCATAACTGCAATTCATGAATGACACTACACGGCCAGCTATGCTTATATTTAATTGCTGAATGCTGTTTATCTATATTTACGTTGAAACATTACAATAAAAACGCTTATTTTATACCGACTTATTTCAACTGATTTTTAGAATTATAAGCATTCATGAAGCTAGCCGTGTAGATAAATCCTTTCTACAGGTACAATCCAAATTTTGTTAAATTCCAATGAAAATTCGACTCGCTGTTTGCAAAATTCTAGACCCATGTAAGTATGCTTTTGCGAAGTGAGTCAGTACCCCCTTAAGCGGGCCGTGGCCCAGTGGTTGAGGGCCAAGAATTCGGATTGAATGTTGGGCGCTCGATTCCAAACCTAGCTATTCTTTTTTTCTCTTAGATTTCTCTCGCATTGTGTATTATCAATGTTTATGACGCCATAACAATTTTTATTTGGGTGACAGTATCCCATTTCTTCGAAAACGTAAGAATACGCCCGTCTTTACTGAATAAAAATTGTAATACGTAATAATTAGAGCTGTGCGGTTGAAATTTATTTATCCCCACTATCCGTCCCATCAGGCCAGCAGTGCAGGCCGCTGCAATCTTGCCTTCCTCGCTTCTCGCTTCCCATTGTGTATTATTTTTCGTAATTCACATCAATCGTTTTATTGTCAACGAGACCGACACTTGAACATTATTAAAATTATTATTCTTATTATTTCGTGGATATGGATTTTAAAATCATCAACTGACTTTCACTGAACATTATTTTTCGCGTAAATTTCTTCGCGATACGTAACATCGGCTGTGAGCCGCTGGTCTGCCGTAGTAGGGGTCGATTCGAAGCGTTTAAATTTCGACCGCACAGCTCTAGTAATAATATTCAGAATATCATGGTCGACTGTGACTATATCAATAATTTTACTCCCCTGTTTTGTGGCGACAAACAGATTCAAATGTAGAATAATGGAATTTTACCTACTGTTACTACATATATTAAATTTGTTTCATTTAAAGGGTGGAGTGACGAAGAGATGTTTAAGGTAGCTTGACCCGATGTGCTAAACTTTTTCTCAATGGGGAATCATTTTAAATTTTACGAATTTATGAAGAAAGTTTTGTTTGGATAGTTCTAAAAAGTTGGATCTGTCACTAATATAATATAGCTCGCTTCACTCGTTTCAAGAACTTGAAGGGTCAGTTTATTTTACTTTTAGAAATAAATTAAAGAATCTTGATACTCATTTATTTATCTCTCTAGTTCCCTTTTCTCTTCGGGGTTTTCCATGTGTATGTTTCTTATCGTTGTCACAAAAATAATTTCTTAAAAACTTCCCAGACACGATAAAATTTCTAACTTTATTTGGTTCCTCGCCAGTATATTTCCTTCTACTGTGATTATGTTTTATCAGTTATAAATTCAATGTAAAATCAATCATTTTTAACTGAAATGATTTTGAATTTTTGATTAAAAAATAAATGAAAAAGTTAAATTTATACACAAGATATTACAAAATAGTAACATTCTGAGCTGGCGATAAACACCGATAAGTTTATTTTCGTGACACTAGATGGGATATCTGTGCAGTAAAACTCCTTCCAAGTATTCTACATACTTCCTAAAACATTAAATTTAAGTGATTCTATGTTGAAAGTGTTACTGGTTACGACACGAAATAAAACCATTCTTATATATTTTTATATGGCTTTCTAGTATCGACTTGTTACAGTAATCAGATAAACAAAGTAGGTAATAATTAATATTTATCTCTAAACAATATTTTTACAACAAAAGTATTTTGAAAATTAAATATTAAGCTACTCCCCCTACTTTTTAAAAAGTGTTAATGCCCTGAACTTTTTAAGAGAAACGTCTAAATTTATTAACCCAGGGTACTTCTCTCTTAATAACAAGAAACTTTGTTAAGAAGTTGATAAGAGAACTAATATTTTGAAACATATTTTAAAACTTTTCCCACTTTTACAAGTGTAGTACCTACTTAAAATGATAAACAATTGTATAATACATAGCAAAACAACATGATATCAGTGTGTTGAAATCACACATGATCTGAGTGTACAATCTTCAGAACCTGATTTAATTTAGACAAACATCAAGATAAGCAATGCTACTTTAAGCAAGATATCTATAAAAGCTTGGAATACGTCAAAAGGGTACACTTTTGCTAAGATTGCAAAATGGAGTCAAAATTCCTTCTCCTTTTACTATTGTTGGGCTTCTTGGGGCACACATGGGCCGCCACCGATAAGGTAATTTGCTATTATGCAAGTTGGGCAGCCCTAAGACCAGAAAAAGGTGCTTTTGTGGCTGAAGACATCGACCCAAATTTGTGCACGCACGTGAATTATGCGTTCTTGGGACTCAATCACGATGGTACTTTGCAAATCCTGGATGAAGAGAACGACGTAAACCAAGGTACGTAACACAAAAATCATATCTTTCCCTTTGACTGTTTTTAATTTACAAGGTGGTTTAAAGAGAGTGAGTGCTCTGAAAGAAGTCAATCCTAATTTGAAAGTACTGCTGAGTATTGGTGGAGCATCTGCTGACACTGGCGTTTTCACTACAGTAGCAGGAACTCCGGAACTCCAACAAGCTATGGCCCAAAGTGCTATAGAATTTTTTGAAACGTATAATTTTGATGGTTTAGATGTGGATTGGGAGTATCCACGAGGTGGTGATATAGGAACATACATCGACCTTCTTTCTGCTTTAAAAACTGCTTTTGAACCAAATGGCTATCTACTAACTGTAGCTGTCAACTCCATCCCTGGAGAAGTTGGAGGATACGATATCCCAAAAATGTCTGAGTAAGTATGCCAATGGTTTGTTTTCCGTGAAAGAAATAATTAGGGGTCTTTATTTAGTATCCTTGACGTTATTAATGTCATGACCTACGATTTCCATGCTCCTTGGGGCAACACTGCTGAAAATTCTCCGTTATATGGAGGAGACAATGAAAGTCAATGGAACAGAGACAATCGAAATGCTGATGCTGCGATCAGGTACTGGCTAGATGGCGGTGCTGATCCGCAAAAACTTGCCATTGGCATCGCTTTTTATGGTCACACTTACAAAATTAGTCCAGAAAATCATGATCTGGACTCTTCTGCTGAGGGTCCAGGAGATCCAGGACCATACACAAATAACACATTCAGTTTGGGTTACAATGAAGTATGTTGTTTTTTATTATTATAATTTTCTAAAATTGGTCTGTGCAGGTTTGTGAATTCCACCCGGATGGAACTGTAGTATTTTTGGACGATATGAAAGTTCCGTATCTTTACGATGATGATTTTTGGATTGGTTACGATAACGAAGAATCTGTAACATACAAAGTACGAATTATTATGGTTTATTTTACTATTAAGTTTTGTGATACCAGTATTAAGAGTTACATTGAATTTTAAGTTTATTTCGACAATAGAAAAGATATTTAAGATTTTTTGTTGTAGGTACAATATGCCCAAGAGAAAAATCTAGCTGGCGTCTTCATTTGGTCAATAGACACAGACGACATGCAAGGACTTTGTGGAGAATCAAATGGGCTTCTGAAAGCTATAAATAAAGCTATTCAATAAATGTATCTATAGTGGTTAATAAATTAAGTTTTATTACATCAACCTATTTTACTTAACCTTAAAGTTACGCTAAAGTACACCGAATCAAGTGGAATCCAGAAAATCAATAGTTGATGTTTAAACTTGCTCAACAAGTCGAAAAAATGTAGTCCAAAAATTCAAGTTAAGTACATTGGTTTTAAAAGTTTATTTTTTTGTATCTTTTCATTAATCATTCGAGAGACTAAAAGAGTACATTTCAAAGTTCGAGAATGCATGTTCATCAATAAAATAGTATATTATTAGCCAAGGTTGCAAAGCCAAGCATTCTAGACCGAGCGCAAATTAGAATCCGAGAAGCACAGCGTCGAGGGCTCTGAAGCGCGAGGTTTAGAAGTGGCTTTACAACCGCGGTTAATAATATACTATTTTATTGATGAACATGCATTCTATTTTTTTCACTAGTAGAAACCATAAGACAATAAATTGAAAAAATAAACGTTCAATTTTTTGACGCAACATGATTTTGTTTTGATTACTAATCAAAGAAAGACTAAGAAAACCGTTTACACTTGTCGCTGAATTAATCATTTTATCTTCTACCGTCTACCAACTACCATACGTATACTCAAGTAATGTTAGTAGCACACATTTATTCATTTTTTAAGAAATAATCACATCAAGTATTGCGTACATAACCTCAATCTTCGTTTTGAACCCGTGGTCGCAAAAGTTGAATTTGCTACCTCTAAATGAGTCGATATTTGCATCCTTCATGGCTGCAAGTGAAAAAAATATATTTGTCCAAAATATGTTTGGTCAGTTGGAGCAAACTAATACTGGACCATACCTGTTTGTCCTACTCTTGAAAGATAGACGGCTCGATTTGTCACTGCAAACATGTGACAGCATAGTGAATATAATGAGAAACTGCAGAACGTACTTCATATCAATTTTCGTAAAACAACTACACCACTTAGACGGTTACGCAATGTTAACTGAAATTTGGTCATTTATACACTCCATACAATTAATGACGTTTTCTTAAAAAAATTATGAAATCATTGGTAAAACATTAGGCTGATTTGAGGAATTTTTGTAACTCACGCACATGTTTTTCTTAAAATCTCTTAAAAATTAATGTATGAGTTTAAATAGTTTTGCGATTATTTAAGAAACGGTGAAAATACTGGCAACCCACTAAAAGTATGAACATTATTAAAACAAATATTAAAATTGACGTAACAATAGTTACTATACCAAAATCATTATAGGAAACATTAAATACCCTATATCCCTATAGATCTTTAAGAAAAGATAACGAAAGCTAAAGAGAAAAGAAGATAAGTAGAGTAAGAGGAAGTAAAGGAAAACAAAAAATGCTTATTTTTAAAGTACATAAATTTATACCAAAAACGAGAACACTGAGCAAAAACAAATCACCCAAAGCTACCACTGTCACTCGGTCGGGGGTGGAATTGGGACTAGAAAGGTAAAACAGCTTTAATTTTCTGGAGACATTAGCGGAGGTTATGAAATTCGTTATGTGGGTGGTAGCGGGAGAGCTCCCTGCTTTTTCGGGGGTGTCGACTCAACTGCCGTTCTGGTTTTTTTTTGTGGTGGAGGGGAAATGTCTACCCAGATCACCGTAATGGTTCTTGGCCTCTTCTGCGGCCTACGGTGGTATTGGGGGAATAGTTACCGCCCTAAAACCCCTCCTTCTTCTGCTCGGGTATCAGAACTTTGTCCCTTTCACCCATATCGCGCTTCTCGGATAGACACAGCGGATGATGCGCTACCAAGTTCGGTTGAGCTATTGATTGCCTAGGAGTTGGCCCCCATCGTCGGCTTTTCCTCGCGGTTCCTGCGGCCGGTGGAGATCTGAAACAGAAGAAAGTGCGCTATACCCTGTCGTTAGTTGTGCATTACCTTAGGGGCGATGCGGTCGGGGTGGTGGGGGAGGCTGGGAACGGCCGGTCGGTGGAGACGGCAGCTGCTGTTACTTGCCGATTTGGTCCTCAAGCAGCGCCCTATGGGGCCGCTTGTGACTGGGGGGGGGGGCTTCTCCGTCGAACTCGTAGTCGACGGCTTCTCGCACCAGGGGGTTGGGGTGTTCTTCAGCTTTCCTGAAGGATCAGAGGGCGATTTCGTGCAGAAATTCCTGCAGCTTCGGGAGATTGGCCTCTCGGAGCAGTTGGGCGTTTCTGACGAACCAGAGGGCTTGGAAAACCTGTCGGAGGGTTTTCGTTTGGATGACTTCCAGACGATGGAACTGGGATTTGGCCACTGAAGCATAGGTCATGGTGGGCGCATGATTCTGCCATACAGCAACAACTTCTTCCTGATGGACATCTTGCTGGGCCAAAAATCTCTTTGTTCTCAGACAAATGCATGGTGATGTTGCACTTGAAACATTGTTGACTGTGTATCATTCTTGTGTTGGTAGCCTAATTTCCTATGGTATTCTTCTGTGGAGTCATTATCCCCATGCCGCAAGAATCTTTTCATTTCAAAGGAAATGTATACGTGTCATAGCTGGTCTGGGATACAGACAAGAATGTCGACATGTATTTAAAGATTTAAGGATCCTTACCGTCCCTTCCGTTTATATACTTCATTGTTTAACGTATATTCATTCTCATATTACAGAATTTAACACTGCCTTTCATATGTACATGACAAGATCTTGTGATCTCTTTCGCCCTAACTTTACGCGTATAAATAAGTCAAGAGGATCAGACTATTTTGCTGTTAAATTTTATAACGCTTTTCCACCTGTTATAAAAAGCTTGAGGAAAGAGGTTTTCAAAAAAAAGAATTAAATCATTTCTAGTGAGAAAGGCATTCTTTAGCCTTGATGAACTTTGTGTTGTTTCTCAACTTAAAGAAATTTGATTTTATTGAGATATATTTTGAATTAGTTTAATTTAGTATCTAAGTGTGTGACTTGAGTAAACATTTGTAATGTATATTAGCTTTAATAAACTTATTATTATTATTATCCGCAGTAGAAATCGCGTATAGGAGCGGGGAGAGCGCCGAGCCCTGGGGGACTCCGGCGCTTATTGGATGTTCCGCAGATAAAGCGTGACCAATGCGTGATTTAAACGTACGGGCATCCAAAAAGGAATGGATGAGCTGCACCATCGCCAGCGGCACGCCTGCTTAATGAAGCTTGTAAACAAGTCCATCATGCCAGATGGTACCGAAGGCTTTGGCAACGTCGAGAAATACCGCGCCAGTCAATTGTTTCCATTCAATTGATTTTGCGGCGAATTCTACTACTCGGAGGAGTTGTTCGGAGGTAGGGTGTTGGGGGCGAAAACCGAACTGTTCATCGGGGATGACGCCTAGTTCGTTGACGAACTCGGCTAGTCGGACGAGAGGCGGCTGATGGGGCGGTGGTTTTCCGGAAAAATGTGATTTTTACCAGGTTTCGGGATGAAGATGACCTAGCTGGAAAGAATCGGAATTTGAACATTGCATTAATGATACCTGCTACCCAAGCAGCAGACTGTCGTCTAATTCACGTCAATTTTTGGTCATAACTCGTCGGCGACGTCATTCGCCCAAAAAAATCACGTGATAATGACGAGATTTTTATGACTTATTTCTGACGTCAAGTAATGACGTCAAAAGGCCGTCCTTTCTTCGTCATGTTTTATAGATTATATGATCAATTAGATGTGGGTCGTCGTATTCTTTAAAAAGTGGCCTTCATAATGCTTAATTATATTATATTTAGAGCAAAAAATACAACGGCTTTATTAGAAATACACCAAGTTTTTTCATTCTAATAATTTCTAATAATTATTTTTGAAAACGTGTTTACTCTGGAAGTGGCATTTTGTAAGTACCTGCTTGGCAAATTATAAATAGAACATCTGGGGTTGAGCGTAGTGAAGATCCAACAACACAAAGTCATAAAAATTTTTTGTCCATTGTCCCTATAACGGGACAAGGTTTTAAAGAGTTCATTCGTCGAATTTTGATTTTATAAAGACGTTTATAAAGTGATGATGGTAACCAAAAAAATTAGAGAGTGATTCATTTTTAGTTTTATTAAATTTATTTCATCTAATGAAAAAATAATGCTCAACTTCCGTATTTACTATTGTTCGAACAGTAAGTGCTCCATTCCGGCGCACGCGCGAGTGAGCGGAAGTAGTACGCTACTGAACGTAAAAGGTGCATGAGTGAACGTTTTTTCCTCTCGCGTGTTCCTCGTTGTACTTCTCAACATCAGGCTACCAAGAACCAGGGGCCCCTGTCACCGCCAGCAGGATACTCCAGGTTAGTGGTACTTCTCAGTTATTCTCGGTCCTTCGCGCAAAGTTAAGTCACGGCACCCCGCGTGCACATTTGGTCCTAATCGAAGCCGGATCATAACCTCAAATTTGTCGGTTTATCGGTTTCTCGATCGACGCTTTATCGCGTATCGCCGCAATGACTAACGAAGAATTGTTGCAATCTCAAATTAAGAAGCTCGCCGTACTGAAATCTACACGGGAAAAGTTATTTGCTCAAGTTCAAAACTGTTATGACTCCGTGAAGAGAACCACCGTTGATACAGCTCTTCAGTTCAAGCCTCGGTACGAAAAACTAGAGGTTATTGAGATAGAAATGGATAAGACTCAGAATGCAATTATTCAGCTAAATGCAGATTTATTGGATAATCGCCATGCTCTCGAAGTCTGTAAGGTGCAAACAGCTTTCGATGATTTAGTATTTAACACACGTGGTCGTTATTTAGACCTGGTGAAGACACAACCTCCGCAGCAAACCAGCAGTAATTCGGTCGCCAACAGCAACCAGCATTTGCCCAGAATAAATATCCCTACGTTCACCGGTCGCATCGAAGAGTGGTCGGCGTTTTTCTCACTGTTCGATTCGGTTGTCCACAAAAACGATGCGTTATCAGAAGCTGAAAAATTCCAGTATTTGCGCTCTTATCTGCGAGATGACGCATTAACAGTCATTGCCAATTTTCATTTAACCCCCGAAAATTACGCACTGGCGTATGAGGCATTGCAACTTCGCTACCAGAATAAAAGACGGTTGGCGACTCACTACGTCAATCAAATTCTAGGTTTTACTCCTTTATCATCCCCAAGTTCTAGAAGTTTGAGACATTTTTTGAATATTCATTCGAATTCCATTAATGCTCTTAAGGCTTTGAATCTTCAAGACCTTGGTGATTTTTTGCTGTTTCAATTATCGTTTGCAAATTTGGATCCTGTATCTAGAAAAGCTTTTGAGAACAGGCAAAGTTCAAATTCCGTTCCCAGCTATCAGGCGTTAATTGATTTCATAACGGATCAGAATCGAACGTACGAACTTCTCTCTCTCAGGACACCAAAGCACCGAAATGTAAATCTCTATCAGTTAAGTCATTCCGTGCTTCACTCATGACAAATGCCAAATCCGATGCCTCCTCTACGTGCTCTGTCCCGTGCGTGCTCTGCAAAGGTTCACATCCCTTTCCGGCATGCAGCGAATTTCTCCAGAAAACAAATGAACAGAAATATGATACGTTGAAGAGATTGAGACGATGCTTCAACTGTTTGGGTGCTCATAATCGAAATGAATGTCAATCTCGTAAAACTTGTCGTATTTGTCACAGCAACAAGCATCACTCCGTGTTACACCAGGAGTCCAAGGTGGATACCTCCGAAACTAGTACTTCTCCCTCTGTAGAGGAAAAAAAAATCTCCCGTTGTGTTTTCGTGCAAGACCTCAGCGGAGCGCAACACTGTTTTACTAGCGACTGTGACAGCCCAGATCCAAGACTGTAATGGAGATTATCACAAGATAAGAGCTGTGGTTGATCCCGGCTCTCAAGTATCAGTGATTACTTCATCAACGGCGCAACATTTGGGATTAAAAAGAAGCAGATCTCCCATTGAAGTTACTGGCATCGCCAGTTTTCCTGTCCGAACTCAAGGTCTCATTCGTACCACTCTACGCTCTAGAACTCGTGCTGATGTCGTAAACGTTCACGCTGTTGTACTTTCGGATATTCCTAATAAATTTCCTAGTCAGACGTTACCTTCTCACATTAAGGATCAGTTCAGTCATCTAACGTTAGCTGATGAAAACTTCCATCAAGCTGCTCGAGTTGAATTCTTAATTGGAGCAGATCTATATCCTCACATTTTATGTAATACGCAGCCTAATGTTATTCAAGGACAACCCTCTGCCATTGACACAATCTTTGGATGGATAATTATAGGCTCGATTTCATCTTCAACAAATTCCCCCTTGTGTTCTCTTCTCACATGCAACGATTCTCTTGATGATACCGTTCGTAAGTTTTGGGAAACTGAGACTCTCGCTGATAACCTTTCAGTCTCCAATCCTGAAGATGACTTTTGTCAAGCTTATTTCAAGGACACGCACTATCGCGAACGCTCAGGCAGACATGTGGTATCAATGCCAGTCCGTAAGCAGCGCTCGCCGCTTCTCAGCAACCGAGAGACAACTCTGAACACTTATCTCAAAATGGAAGCTCGAATGTCTCGGCGTCCCCAACTCAACGCTGCTTATATTACTTTTCTCCAAGAATACCGCGATCTCGGACATATGCAACTAGCCGCACAACCTTCCATGTACGTAATGCCTCATCATTGTGTTCAAAAGGAAACTAGTTCAACTACCAAAGTGCGAGTTGTGTTTAACGGATCCTCCTCTGACCCAAACGGGACAACGCTTAATCAGCAACTTCTGCCCGGTCCTAAGCTACAAAAGGATTTGAGCCACATTCTCATGAATTTTCGCCTTCATGCTATAGCAGTCACAGCGGATATTCAACAGATGTATACACAGATTTGGTTGAATCCAAAGCAACGTTATCTCCAGCACATATTCTGGAGGCCAGATCCCGCTTCTAATGTGCAGGAGTATGAGTTAAAAACAGTGACATATGGTTTAGCACCATCAGCATATCTTGCTCAACGTGTCCTTCTCCAGCTCGTCGAGGACGAAGGGCATGAGTTCCCATTGGCAGTACAAGCTATCACAGAAAGCACCTATGTGGACGATATTGCGCATGGTGCCTCTACAGTTGAGGAAGCGAAGTCGCTACAGTTACAACTCGCAAACCTACTCACTCGTGGCGGTTTCCAGCTGAGAAAATGGGCTAGTAATGATCCAATTGCTCTAGATCATGTTCCAGAACAGCATCGTGAATCTCCGTTGAATTTCTCAAGTGACGATCCTTCTATTAAGATTCTTGGATTACGGTGGGATCCTCGGTCTGATACTTTCACCTATTATGTACAAGAATTTGATTCTCAAATTACCAAGCGCACTGTTCTTTCTTATATCGCTCGAATCTTTGATCCCATGGGGTGGTTATCTCCAATTGTATTTTGGGCTAAGCATTTTCTGCAACAGATATGGATCTCTAAAGTGGGCTATGATGATATCCTGCCGCCTTCCCTAGCGGAGGCTTGGGGAAGGTTTTCTTCTCAAATGCGGTGTCTACGCGCACTTAAAATTCCTCGATACATTCTCCAAAGTTTGCCACGTTTGCTCTTGGTGGGATTCTCGGACGCTTCCTCTAAAGGATACTCCGCTTGCATCTATTTACATGCGTATGATTCCAGTAGCACTTGTAGCAATTATCTTTTGAAGGCCAAGAACAAAGTGGCACCCCTCAAGACATTGACTATTCCTCGATTGGAACTCTGTGGAGCGTTGTTATTATCTAGACTACTTCGTGATGTGATTAAATCTCTTAAAGCCGTAAGATTTGAAAATGTTCATCTCTATACCGATTCTCAGATTGTCCTTGCATGGCTCCACACCTCTCCTCATCTTCTCAAAACCTACGTGGCCAATCGTGTAGTTCGCATATTAGAGCATACATCTCTTCACCAATGGGCACACACAGTGTCGAATCAAAATTCAGCCGACTTTGCGTCTCGAGGATTATTTCCCGAAGAGATCATGGATTGTCATTCCTGGTGGAATGGACCAGATTTTATGCAGAATCCGCCGTCCAAGTGGCCCCTAAGAGGCGATAATTATGTCGCACCCGAAAAGCTCCCTGAGCGTAAAAACGATCCTATAGTTTTGCGCATCCAAGCCGACCCAGAAAATCCTCTGTATGAAGTTGTGTCACGATTTTCTTCATTTAGTAGACTACAACGCGCTTTCGCATTTATTCGCCGATGGCTACTCCGAATAAGATGTCCCGAGATGAAGGGTCCACTCTCAAGCGAAGAGATGCGATACTCGACCTTATCGCTTGTGCGTCTCACACAGCAAAACCATTTTCCTCTGCTTATAGAAGAGTTGCGTTCCAAAGGTCACACCACAACTCCATTAAGGAAGCTGTTCCCATTCTTGGATGCAATGGGTATAGTTAGGGTGGGCGGACGGCTACGACACTCCGCCCTTCCCCTAGATGCGAAACACCCTCTGCTTTTACCTCAGAAAGCTCATCTCTCGGCTTTAATTTGCGACTACTATCATCTGTACGCTTGCCACGCTGGACCTAGAAGCGTGCAGACGCTTATACAGCAGAAGTTCTGGATAATATCGATTCGATCCCTCCTACGGCAACGCATTTTTCGCTGCATTCGCTGTTTTAAGTTTAAATCGAAACCTGTATTTCCCTTCATGGCTGATCTACCACCAGCTCGAGTTCAACCTAGCAAACCGTTTTCCTCTGTTGGCATTGACTTTGGCGGACCCTTCACGGTCAGGGAAAGTCGTCGACGTAAGGCCCACACATACAAAGGGTATCTCTGTTTATTCATATGTATGTCTACGAAAGCGGTCCATTTAGAAATGGTCTCGGAACTCTCCACGAAAGCCTCGCTCAACAGATTCACCGCACGCCGTGGTCTACCCTCTGACATATACTCTGATTGCGGACGTAACTTTCTCGGCGCCGCTCGACACCTGAGGGAGGTGAGTCAGTTTCTACGTTCGCACTCCTCTGAGATAACGAGTTCCTTAACTTCTTTGGAGATAAAATGGCATTTTAACCCTCCAGCCGCCCCCAATTTTGGCGGCCTATGGGAGGCTGCGATCAAATCCGCAAAGAGTCTCTTGTATCGATCAATCGGCACCTCTCTCTTAACTTTCGAAGAGTACAGCACGCTATTTTGTAAGATTGAGGCTGTATTGAACAGCCGTCCCTTATGTGCCGTCACCTCTAACCCAGAAGACGCTGTAGATTACCTAAGCCCTGGACATTTCTTAGTCGGCAGACCGTTATTGCAACCTCCTGAAGCTCCCTTGGAGGACAACTTGAATTGGACCTGTCGGTGGCAACTACTCTCCCAGCTGTATCAGCGGTTCTGGAAGAGGTGGTCTACGGAGTATCTCCATACTCAACTCCAACGTCAGAAGTGGAATAAGGATCAACCAAACATTCAACCCGGCGCCATTGTCGCATTGTATGGCGCAGAAACTACCCCCCTTTCATGGCCGTTAGGACGCGTACAAGAGGTACATCCTGGAACCGATGGAGTCGTCCGTGTGGCCACAGTGAAAACCTCGACCGGTTTATATACGCGTCCGGTAAACAAGCTCGTGATTCTCCCAACCCAATTCTCAATGGAGAATTGAGTGAGCTCTCATAATGTGCATAAAGAACTCTCTTTAATTTTCGTTTAATTTTTCGTTAAATTTTGTTAAAATTGGTGGGCGGTTATGTTCGAACAGTAAGTGCTCCATTCCGGCGCACGCGCGAGTGAGCGGAAGTAGTACGCTACTGAACGTAAAAGGTGCATGAGTGAACGTTTTTTCCTCTCGCGTGTTCCTCGTTGTACTTCTCAACATCAGGCTACCAAGAACCAGGGGCCCCTGTCACCGCCAGCAGGATACTCCAGGTTAGTGGTACTTCTCAGTTATTCTCGGTCCTTCGCGCAAAGTTAAGTCACGGCACCCCGCGTGCACAACTATATAATACACCAGATGTTTGGGGCGTGCATTCAGACTTTCCCTTTTTTCCGTATTTATGTTTATTGCACTTCACAGTGGAGCTTTAGAATTTCAATATTTCCATTCCAGTCCAGTTGGTTCTCAACCACCGGAACTTTCTCGTGTACTTCATTTTTAAAGCAATTTTGTGAAAAATTCTGCCATTCAGTGTGGGTTGTATTTACACTAGGTAAGTTTTAATATCTAATAAAGTAATCATTTTAATTTTTACGTGTTTCTGTTATTTTTGATAACTGTGTAGATAACAAAAGCAGTTTTTTCAGATAAGCTGGAAAGACCACCACTGAAGATACTCCCGCTGATTATAAAGAACTTACGGTGATTGTTTTTGAAAATAAGACGCCATAAAATATTGCAAAGGTATCCTACTGCAATTTTTTATGAACTAATGAACATAATTTTACTCTAGGCTTGAAACAAATACAAAAAACATGTGCGAAACCTAAGAAATGCTAAAGGAAACGAGTGAAAAAATCTCCAACATAGATACGTCATCAAATCTGACAACTGAAAAAGGAAACAAAAATAGAAGATATGCTGCCAAGACCACAACTAAACAAATTTTGACGAATTAGAAGATTATTTTTGCCTGTTAGAACAAGCAGGTTTCTTTGTAAGTTAAAAAAAATACAATGAATTAATATATACATATAACGTAATATTAGATATTACATACAGCTAGATGCCTATAATACTAGATATTTTTTGGTAACTTACTATACATGGCACATTTCGCTTCATTGTACTAAAAAGTATTGAAAACGAGATTTTCCTGATTGGCTATACGTTTTTGTCAATGTAACCATTTTACGATTATAGGTTAGATTCAAGTAAATTTAACATTTTTAAAGTGCAGAATTTGTCTTCTGCTTTAAGCTGTAATCCCTTAAATTTAATAATAGCCAAGTGCTTGCTATTGCCCACAGACGAAAAAATGATTGCATTTCCATTAATCCATGCACTCTAACGGGTTTTTCTTTTCAGTGCAATAAATTGAGGCAGACTTAAAAAACTTAGTTTATTAATATGATTGTTTAAACAGAATTAATTTTAGTGGTACTTTTTTGTGTGTTGTGGACAGTCAAGTCGTCGCGAATTAGATAGTTTTACAGTGCATTTTCAAATCAATTAATTCCAACAATGCGATTCAATTCTCTTTTCCCTTTATTCTAGTTTTTTTTTTTTTAATATTTTTGTCAATAGATTTGTTTGTGTGTTTAATACTGATTTATAGTTTATGATAGTTTTCTTTTAATATTCGTTGTAACTAAATAGATTTCTTTGTGTTTTTAAAACTGATTTTTCTTTAAATAGCATATTTTATTGCAACGTTTATTTTTGATTATATATTGTATATTATCATTTTTTTTTTGTTTATACTAATTATACTCGTAATTACCTGTATGTAGATGTGTATCTGTTCTTAGGAGTGGTTTATCTTTATTTTGTTTAATTGACATATATTTTTTGATTTGTTTTTTTGAAGTTCATTGTTGGTTGTATAGAACTTTAGTAATTTTTTTTTTTTACACTAATTTGTTTAACTTTAATTAATATATATTTTGTTTTGGGGTTTACCTGGTGATTATAACGAATTATAATATTTTATTTAAGGTAAACGATATAAAAATATAAAATTATTTCAGCGTTTTATTTATTGCATATTTTTTTCTAAAAATCCTGTTCCGGCTCGAAGACCAATGTTCCGGCTCGAAGACCAATGTTCCGGCTTGAATGCCAATGTTTCGTACAACCCGAATCGTAATACCAACGTTTTTTGTAATTGTTGATACGACCATGTATGGTCTTCCGAATTGTACCTTGATATTGCTCGTGGTACCTTTGTTTGCTATAATTGAAATAATGGACAGCGTTCGGTTTTGATGTTTAATGTAGGACGGTTACAGAAGTACTAAAATTACAGAGCTATTTACAAAAACAGGTAAAGATACCCAAAAGGGTCAGTGGCCGCTTCCGGAAATGCAACATCCCGCCGGCCTTGAAGGGTTCTTCAATATTATTCTGTACAAATTAAAACAAACTATGACAAATGAAAAAAAAATGAAATATACAATAGAAGTGAACTTAATAAAATACATATGATATCCACTATTCAATTGGTAAAACGCACACTTTGTTTATTGGACGCTTCACTATACCGCTAATTGTTTTCACGGAAACTACCCGCACATGCCCGTCACTGCCCGGATGGAGCTCTTGAATTCGGCACATCTTCCACGCAAGCGGGGGCAGGTTGTCCTCCTTGAGCACAACGAGTGCTCCTGGTTGGAGTTCTTCCTTCGACGCCGCCTTCCACTTCGTGCGTTGTTGCAACTCGTTCAGATATTCTAATGACCAGCGTCGCCAGAAATGCTGTTTAATTTGTTGAATGCGCTGCCAATGATTTAGTCGATTGGATGGAACATCGACCAAGTTTTCTTGAGGCAACGCAATTAGTGGACTCCCGATTAAGAAATGGCCAGGAGTTAGAGGTGATAGGTCGTTGGGGTCATTTGAAAGGGGTGTCAAAGGACGAGAATTCAAACATGCTTCGATTTCAACTAATAGGGTATAAAACTGATCGTAATTCAGCAATGCGTTTTTCGTCACTCGACTAATGTGGTATTTTGCTGACTTAATACCCGCTTCCCATAAACCGCCCATATGAGGGGATCTACTTGGTATAAAATGCCAGTGAAGATTTTGCATTTCTAATTTATTGGTTAGTTCACCGAAAGCTTGTGATTGAAATAATTTACTTAATTCGTTATTACTCCCTACAAAATTAGTTGCATTGTCCGAATACATGTTAAGAACCTTGCCACGACGGGCTACCATGCGATTAAGTGCACTCAGAAATGTTTGACTTGAACAATCGCAAACTAATTCAATGTGAATTGCCTTTGTGGCCAAACAGATAAAAAGAGCAATATATGATTTGATTGATTTTGAAGTTCGTAAAAAACCATTTTTGATAAAAATGGGACCAGCATAGTCGACTGCGCAATTGACAAATGGTCTAATTGTTTGCTGTATTCGAGCTCTAGGCAAATTACCCATCAATTGATTAAGGGAAGTAGGTTTTGCTTTAAAACACGGGACACATTGCCTTAAAACACTCCTTACGGCGTTACGCCCGCTCAAAGGCCAAAATTGTTGTCGTACAGTGGCTAGTGTGCATTGACTTCCTGCATGTTTTAGTTGCCTATGTATGTCTGTTATTATTATTTTGGTAATATGATGGTTTTTTGGGATTACATAAGGATGTTTTTGTGTTTCTTGTAAGTCAGAATTAACTAGTCTACCGCCTACTCGGATTAGACCATGGTTATCCAAAAATGGGTTTAATGAAAGTAACTTACTTGGTTTATTAACCTGCCCGTTACTGGTTAATTGTGCAATTTCGCTAGAAAATACTTGTGTCTGAAGCAGTTTAAGTATACATTGCTTAGCATTTTCAACCTCCTCAAATGTAAGTGGTTTCGGTTTTTGCATAGGTAATCTTGCTTTGTGTTTGGGTTGATTAAGCTGGGTCTGGTTTCTCAAAGCATTGTGTTTGAACCTAAAGATCCATGCTACAATAGTTATTAATTTCTTAAATGAGGAAAACCTATATAAAATTGAATAGTCAGTTACACTGTGCGTTTGTGCGGCAATCAGTGTAGTTTTCCTTTCTGGAACATCGGATAAATTATATTGAGGAATTATGGGCCAATATGAATTATGTAATTGATTTAAATTAACCCCATTGGATGAACTTGTAGAACTGTTGAAAACCACTCGCACCTTGGTGCTAATACTTGTTTCCTTTATTACTGGATGGTGACTAAGATAAAGGCGATTTTCTTTCAGAGGGTCTGGGGTATTTACTACCTCCATGTGTCCCAGTTCAATGTATTCGGTCATAAATTTACTGTAATCATTATGAAGCTTAGGAGCTTTCACCAACCGCCTTTCTAATGAGTAAAATTTTGAAAGAGTTCCGTTGAAAGAATTACCTGGCTCCAGGTGGCAGTCTTTAAAGGGTAGTTTTACTATAAACCTACCGGAAACATCTCGTTTGAAGTTTGCCGAAAAATTATTTTCGCATAATTGTTCTTCCTTGGAGAGAGGCTTACTCATGGGTATTTCCTCAATTTGCCACAATTTAGCTACCTGAGTTTCTAATGAATTAACTGCCACATTGCACGATACCTGTTTAATCCTTTCCGGAATTTTAAGTTTACCACCGAAAACCCAACCCAGTTTTGTTTCTCGGAGGGACGGTAAATCTGTACCAAAACTTAATGAACCGGCTAAAATTAGTTCCCAAAAAACTTCGTTGCTAATTAGCAAATCGACAGGTCTAGATTTATGAAATTCAGGATCCGCCAACTGGATATTATTTGGAATTTTGAATATTTTATGCGAAAAATTGAATGGCGGGGTGTTTCTTGTGATCTGCTCTAAAATTAAGCAATTCAGCTGTGTGGTAAATGAACTAACTCTGGACTTGATTGTAACGTTTACACTATTGTTAATAATTGTAGGAGATGAATTCTGAGGGTTAATTCCAGAAATTTGCACCTTAGTCGGTAAGTTATCCAATTCAAGTCTATCAGCTAAAGATTTTGTAATAAAATGTGACTCCGATCCTCCATCTAATAAGGCACGACAGAAATGATAATTATCATACTTGTCTTTTATGTATACAAGTACAGTTGATAACAATACTTTAACATCCTTTACTTGCGAACCGAAATTTGTTAATGTGGTGCTAGTTTGAGGATCTACTGTAGGTTCAGTTGGATTGTCAAAATGCAGAAGCGAATTATGTTTTTCTTTACATATTTTGCAAGTATAAGAAGATCGGCAAGAATTTAAAGAATGCGATTTTAAGCAATTAACGCACAATTTTAATTTGTTGATTTGTGACCGACGTTGCTTGACAGCTAATTTTAAAAATTCTTCACAATGATAAATAAAATGATTACCCTTACAGTGAGGACAACTTAATTGATACTTGTTTGCGATATGAACAGATTTGTGGTTGACGGGCCTTGGTTTTGGATTAAATTGTTGTGTTTTAAATAACTTATTGGATTCTAATGACTCCAATAATTGATACCTTTTCGTTAAAAATGCTTTCATTTGAGCCATTGTTGGCAATTCAGTTCCTACTAATGAATTTTCCCATTCTCTAGTTGTAATAAAATCGAATTTAGTTGTTACTAGATAAATTAAGATTGGGTCCCAACTTTGAACTTCTAATTTCAATGCCTCAAGAGCTTTCAAATTTGAATTTAATTTATCTGTAAACATGCGGAGTGTGTTAGCAGAATCTTTTGTAACATTAGGTAAATTGAACATTTCACGCATGTGATTTTTGACTAAAAGATTTTTGTTTTCATAGCGTTCTTTTAATAATTCTAAAGCAACTTTATAATTTTCATTGTTGATACACAAATCGGAAATTATATTACCAGCTTCTTTTTTAAGGCATGATTTTAAATATTGTAATTTTTGGACATCACTTAATGTTTTGTTGTCGTGAATAAGTGATTCAAACGTATTATAAAAATTAGGCCACTGTGTTATTTCACCATCAAAATTTGGAATTTCTAATGTTGGTAATTTAACTTGAATATTATTAGTAGGTTGTAAATTAGGATTTGGTGATACCGATCTTTGTGAATCGGGTTGAAATTTGGAAATAAGATGTTGTGAGCGTGTGATTACTCTATAATATAAAGATTCGTATTGTTCACGGGGATCACTAAGAGGTTCTGACTAAGTGCTCTCTTCATCAGTTTGGCCAGTAGAGGAATTTTCTAATGACTCGATAATTATTTGCAATTTATCTAACTCGTCTAATAAAGGCTTAATGCGTGTTAGTCTGTATTTAAGTTCTACAACATCATGTTCAGAGTTAACATTATTTAAGAAATTATCGTACCTATTGAGCTGGTTAATGATTATTTTTTGTTGATTCTTACTGTGCTGTAACTTTTCTATCATTTTGGGAGGCATATTAGCGAATAACGAAATGCAGTATTATTGATCGCGAAATCGAAATCGACACTTACCGAATTCTCGAATTATGGATTGGATAGGAAGTGAAATGATGGAGTCCACTAACCTTGTCTCTGGTTCTGGAGATGGTGTTCCTCCTGCCGTCCTGCGGGATTGATTGCGGTGGTGACTCTCCGCCGAAGATGCTGTCCAAATTTGAAGTTGATTCCAACTCGGTGCAACGTGGTGGTGATCCTTTTGTAGGAATGCTGCCCACTGCTGCCGTCGCTTCCAGTTGATGATAATGATGTCGATTAGCGAAATGTATTTCTGCGCGATTTGATCCAACCCGGGTCGATATGGACCAATGTTCCGGCTCGAAGACCAATGTTCCGGCTCGAAGACCAATGTTCCGGCTCGAAGACCAATGTTCCGGCTTGAATGCCAATGTTTCGTACAACCCGAATCGTAATACCAACGTTTTTTGTAATTGTTGATACGACCATGTATGGTCTTCCGAATTGTACCTTGATATTGCTCGTGGTACCTTTGTTTGCTATAATTGAAATAATGGACAGCGTTCGGTTTTGATGTTTAATGTAGGACGGTTACAGAAGTACTAAAATTACAGAGCTATTTACAAAAACAGGTAAAGATACCCAAAAGGGTCAGTGGCCGCTTCCGGAAATGCAACAAATCCAAACATAAAAAACGTCTTAAAATGGACAGGAAATGCCGTCTCCAAGACGTCAGTACATCACGTCAATAGTTCGTTACAAAATCACGTCAATAGTTCGTTACAAAATAACTTCATCTGGACGAGACATTTGACCGTCATTGGTACGTCAATATCACGTGAAATCTTTGGTCACTATGACGTAATTGATGACCATTTATTCCCGTGAAAAAGACGAAATCATGTTGCCTGGATAGTACGACGATGGCTTTGTCGGAGAGGTTCTTCAATGCTTTGTTCGGGATGCCGTCTGGGCCTGGAGGTTTCCTGGGCTTGAGGAGTTGGATGATTGCTCTGATTTCATCGGGATTGGTTTTACGGATGAGCTCGTCTTCGTCGGCTTCTGCCCATCGAATTTCTTCGACGATTTCTTCGACGAGGTCCAGATGCTCGTCGTCTGCATCAAGGTCGATGTTCGTCTGGCACTGGTTCTCCAGACTGTGAGCGAAGGCGGCGGTTTTGTCCTCATCTGTGAAAGTGGCCTCTTGTCGCTTCTCAGTGCTTTGGCCATTCTCCAGGTCGATAGGTCCATGGTGTTGAGGGACTCGAGTTCTTTGGTCCCACTGCTCGTTCCTAAGTGCTTGCCGGACTTCCCGTTGGAGGCGGTTCGCTGCAGTCCAGTCGGTTTGTTCTCCGGTTCGTCGTGCAGTTCGTCTGGCTCTGTTCTTTTCCCTGATGAGATTCGCGATACGCTGTGGTATCGCGGGCCGTTTGAGTGACCGTACAGGGCGTCGAACTGAGGTCGCGTCGATGGAGGTCCAGGGTTGCTCTTTCGACTTGCTCGCTATCCTGAAAATTCGTTACAAACTTACCAAAGTTGCCCTTGATATGTTCGGCTAATTTCGTCCAGTCCGTGGTTGTGATTATGTTGGCCGCGGGATCGTTGGGTTCGTTCCCGATGCGCATAATCACCGGGAGGTGGTCGGAGTGGAGCTCGTCGACGACGGTGACGTCCACTTCGTGTCGGAGGTTCTTGACTAGGGCAATGTCCAGGACATCATCTGGTGCATCTGGTCGGGCTCAGGGGTAGAACGTCGGTTCCTCGGTGGAGATGACGTCTACTTCTGCGCTGTTTTGGAGGAAGGTTCGGAGTCGCCTTCCGTTCGGGTTGTTCTGGCGGCTGTGCCAGTCGGAGTGCTTGGTGTTGAAGTCGCCAGCTGCGATGACGGCCCCGTCGCCTTGACGAGGTCAGCGATGTCTTCAACCTGAAGCGTGTCGGAGTTGTTGTAACAAGCAATTAGGTGCAGAGTCCCTCTCGCACTCACAACGGTTACTGCCGTTGTTTCCAGTTGTCGGAGATTGGGGACGTAAGAATAAGAGTGTTTAATCTCTTCCTTACGTAGATGGCCGTTCCTCTACTGTTTCCATCCCGGCGTTCCATTCGGTGCAGGATATAACCCGGCATCTTGGGATCTCGGGAGTTCCACAGGAGGTTCGTCTCGTTGTCGAGGATGGCATCGAACTGGCGGTCTTCCATGAATTCTTCGAGTTCAAAACGCCCGGTCCGGAGTGAGTTGGCATTCCAGAAGGGGATCTGCAAAGAATTAACAATTAGTGGTGTACTACCCATCTAATTTTTAAAGAGGAGCGGAAGGAATGCCACCATTTTCTCCGCCATGGATTGAGAGTCCTTGGCGGCGGTGATGGCGGTCATTAGCTGGGTCTTCTGGAGCTAGAGGTCGGCCTGCTGGCGAGCCGTGAGGATGACCTTCTTGGCGACGGGAGCGGCTTTGGGTTTGGGGGCGGCGGTCTTGGGGACGGTCGTCTTGGACGATGCGGTGGACTTCTTTGAAGACTTCGGTTGCTGCGGCTTGGAGAGCCTGGGACACCCCTTGTAGCTGGCCGTCTGTGGCCCGCCACAATTAGCGCATTTCGGGGCCTGCTTTCGCTGTTAATCGCAGTCTCTGGTCTGGTGACCAGCTCCGCATTTCACGCAGCGATGCTCGGCTCTACAATGGCGCTGGGAGTGGTGGAAGCGCTGGCAACGGTGGCATTGGGCAGCGTCCTTGGGCTTGTGGGGCTTCTCCACCTTCACGGAGACGCCGCAGAGAATCTTCACCTCGTAGATTTCGGCCTTCGTGCACATCGGTAGTTCGGTGAGGACGAGAAGCATCGGGGCTCCCGTCGGTGTCCCGCCGTGGGCCTGCCTGGGACTGCGGCGTCTTCTGCTGCTTGGCAGCAGGGGCGCCTGTTTGGGGCTTGATGTTCTTCTGTTTCTTATTGCCAGCAGCAGAGGGGGCTGGCTTCTCCGTGACCGGGTGCTTGGGCTCGACGGGCACGACGGTCGGGGGAGGAGCGGCTCTCTTCGGTTTTTTAGCTGAAGTGGATGGCGTGGGGGCTTGTTCCTCGCCTCTGAGGGCGTAGAACATGTTGATAGTCGTGAAGACTGGCTCGAGGGTGAGGGTGGCGAACCTTTTGGAGCCTGTCCTGGCGGGGACAACTCGAACGGGGCTTCGTCGAAGGCTTCCAGGGGGGGAAGTCGCCTTTCCGTGCGACGGTCGCTTCTTATATGTCTGTTGAAGGGGACCGCTGACTGGACACTTGTGGCGAAATGGAGCTGAGCCCTTGAAGAGCCCCGTGACTTGCCAGCGCGACGAAGTGCCGTGGTGTTTGTCCGGCCACGGTGACACCACCTCGTTATCATATAAATCCTGATCAATCTGATAAACTAACCTACTTAACACATTTTCTTGATTGAAACTGCAAACAGCTCGTAAGTTCTTTTATGATCACAATTAACTAAAATAATGAAAACAGTGTCATTTAGAAACAAATTTAAAACCAACTTGCGTTTGTAAAGTTTGTTAAATTCGAACAAATTATTTTTTGATATCCAGGTTGCATACTCCCACCATTTGGAAAAAAATCTATGGTACTTGTATAACGAGCGAAATCAACAATCCATGCGATAAAAAAATTACTAGAATTTAGTTTTGACGTCTTGTTTTGATTCTTCTGATGTTACAATATCATATGCATAATTCATTAGCAGATTAGTGGGAACGTTAGATATTTTCTGATTCAACAATATAGCTACTCCAGCTTCTCCAAAATGAAGAAGAATGTAAAATAATGCTCTAATAATACAGGTCACGATATACAGGTTTATTGTTTATAATCTACTGATTTCAGTATTTTGTTTACGTATTTTTGTTGTCCGGAAAAAGTTGTTAATACTCGTGTACTACCTGAATGCATATTTAAATAAGAAATTATCACTTGTGTTAAACTGTTTTAAAATGTGAATGTTAGTGTGAGGGTTAATTAAAATAGATAAGTAAGTTATTTTTATTTAGTAGCTGACTTAATTAATCTAATAACAAATTACAATTACAATTACAATAATTTCTTTAACACTATCGTCTTTTCACGTGTTTTTCTTTGGAGGGGTTCTTACATAAAGCCGCATACCAAGGCTTTCTCATCCATTGTGTGCTACTGCTCATAGTATCGCCTAAAAAAGAGGCCTATACCATTAATAAAGCCTAAGATACAATTTAACTATCTTTTTCTTACGTCTAGTCCATCAATAATAAGATTTAAACATTCAACCGTTTCAGATTTCCTAATTTGCAAAGTCTTTAAGCTTATAGTCAAATTTATTTTGTCTGTCTCATAAAGTTTTTATTAAGTCTCTGCACTTAAAAAAATATTTCTTTAAATCTGCTGATTCTTGCGTATCAGTATTTGAATCAGATACTTAATACTTACCTACTTACATTTTGAAGATTCTTTTGTTTAAATTTGATAACGCTTCCTCTTGAAACTAATATAAAAGCTCCCAAATGTCCACGCTTGTTTGTGTTAGACAATCACGCAAAGAAAAATGATTTTTAAGTTACTATTTTTCACAGTTATATTTGCGTCCATTGATTATGGATTTACCGCTACAGGTTTAAAATTTCTACTTACATTTATCACAGAAATAAAATGCAGATTTCCAGATAAAGTAATTTGTTATTACGCTAGCTGGGCTGCAACGAGACCAGGAAATGGTAAATTCGTACCGGAAGATATTGACCCAACTTTGTGCACACATGTGAATTATGCTTTTCTTGGATTGAATGATGATGGTACTCTTGAAGTACTCGATGAAGAGAATGATATAAATCAAGGTAATATCTTCAGAATATATGTTTTTTTTCATAATTAATAAAGTTAATGAAAATTAGGTGGTTTTACACGTGTCAGTGCTTTGAAGGCCATTAACCCAGACTTGAAAGTTCTAATAAGCGTTGGTGGAGCTGCTGCAGATACAGGAGTTTTTTCAACAATTGCTGCTAGTCCAGAAAAACGAGAAGCTTTAGCAGCAAATGCTATCGAATTTTTTGAAACTTATAATTTTGATGGTCTGGATGTCGATTGGGAATACCCTGGAGGTGGCGACATAGAGACATATATAGATCTTCTTTCAACTTTGAAAGAAGCATTCGAACCCAAAGGATATCTGGTTACTGTCGCTGTTAATTCAATACCTTATGAGGTTGGAGGCTACGACATAGCAGCAATGTCAAAGTAAAACACCATTTTATGAATATTGTATAACTAATTCTGGTGCCATTAGCGTTTTAGACTTAATCAACGTTATGACCTACGATTTTCATGCCGGATGGGGAAATACAGCGGAAAATTCTCCTTTGTATGGTGGAGTGAACGAAAGTCAATGGACAAAGGAAAATCGTAATGCTGACGCAGCAATTAGGTATTGGTTAGATGGTGGAGCCGATCCACAAAAGGTTGCCATTGGTGGGGCTTTTTATGGTCACACTTGGATTCTTTCTAATCCGGATAACCATGGACTGGATGCTCCTACCGCTAGCCCAGGTGATCCAGGAGAGTACACGCAAAATATGGGAAGCTTAGGGTACAATGAGGTATGGTATTGCAATTTTCCAAAATGTTTGGTCTAAGTTGGTTTGTAAAGGTTTGTGAGTTTCACCCCAATGGAACTGTGGTTTTCTTGGATGACATGAAAGTTCCTTACCTGTACGACAATAAATTTTGGATTGGTTTTGACAATGAAGAATCTTTAGCTTACAAGGTATAAGTGTTTACAATTAAAAGAGATTATTAAGCCATGATGCGTTTTCAGGTGCAATATGCTAAAGAAAAAAATCTGGCTGGAATTTTTATTTGGTCTATTGAAACCGACGACATGCATGGATTTTGTGGCGAAAAGAACGGATTGTTGAAAGCGATAAATAAGGAAATTAAAAGTATATAAAAAGGCATACTTCATCTATTTATTAGAATAATTGTCACAATTATCTTTATTACCAATAAAAAAAAATACTTTTAAGAAATTATTCACTTCAAAATTTACCTAGTAAATGTTATTTACATTGTACTCTTATTAAATAATTCTCCCACTCCTACACGTGTATTTTATAAATACGTTTTGATTTTTTACCCGACATCCAGATTTTTAGAAAAAAATCAAAATTGGACAACAACAACTTAACTTTGGAACTGAAAAACTAAATGTTCTGAAATCGTGTCACAAACAATAAATATTTATTCATTTATTCTCTATCTAAGATGTGCAAGATATTACGATTCTGTACGATGAACGAGGAAATTTATTTTTGCTTGAATATTTGGAAATACTGTACTGTTATTGTTAGTATTATCCTGTACCTATCCAAACTGATTACGTGTTTTTGATCAAGTGTTGATGACCTCATCACAAAAGTTTTTAATGAAAAAATTCCCTAGAAACTTACGCATAGCATCCTTCTTTATATTTACTTAACACCTCACACATAACTTTTATCATTTTTCGAAAAAGCTAGAGATATGCTGTGACTAAATAAGTTACTTTTTATTGTTTCACGAACTGTTTTAAAGAATTCGTAAAATAATAGAAATAGAGATATAATATACAATATGTTTAATTGTATTTCAGACAAGGGAAGTTCTGTCTAAATAACCTTAGATCAATTTGTTGGGCGATAGCTTAAATTTTAAATGAAATTATGCAGACCTCCTAAGAAAATGTTTTTTAAATCCTTTGCAAAAAAACATAAACCTATATCTGTACTAAAATTTCCTTTCAGATCCCTGGAGACCTGGCTGGTGTTAACTGCCGGACGTGACAATGTGGCAAAAATACTCAGTCGATCTTGTACTTTCATGTCGTTTTAATCGTCTTATGGCGGCTAGCCAAGACACCACAGTATTTATCAATTTAGGTCGTAATTCGCAAATTTGATGAACATATGGACAAGATGAAGTTTATTGACACAAAAAATGCAAGGGTTTGCAACTGGGTTCATTCTCGGCATTTTTGTTCATTAATTATTTTTTTTACTTCCAGAGCATAAGCTAACAAACTACTAATACCGATACTAATGCGTTCTAATCAAAAGCATCATCGTGTAGATGATTAAAGTGTGGTACATTAATGACTTATATAAAACAAGCTCTTTAAACATTTTTCTTACACTGCGATTGTTTAAGTTAAGTTTAAAAAATGGAATTCATTTAATTGTACATCACGGGTGAGAGAAGTTCTGTTTAATAATATAAGACCAATTTTTAATTTTCATTTTTTTTGAAGTTTATATAATTTTAGTTCACGAATTTTCAATAACAATAAGAGATAAAATGTGTATCAAATAAAGATCAATATTTACCAAAAGCAGCAAATAAAACCATGCGAAAGAAAGTATATTAATCAGCTGTCCAACACACACACACACACACACACATGATACTATTTAGAATATGGTGGCTTGAAATTTGTCCTCAAATAAAACTTTCCCCGTTTAGTGGTTTTTAAATTTCCCATTGTTTCCTGTTCATTTCCACATAAATGTTTTGTATATTTAAGCCAACTTTCACATTTTCTAGCCACAAATTGTTTAGGCGCAGGTACTGCTTCCGCAAAATACTTCCAACTCCTCCAGTGAGAGCAAAATTCTAAGAAACCCAAATTTAAACTCATATTTAACAAAATTATAACTGATTACGTTTTCCACTAACATCTTTTGCACTCAATAGAGTTAACCGAAGGCACCCAGGTTGCCAAGTTCCATTATTCGGAAAAAAATCAATTGTACCACAGGCTTCTTGAAATCCAAAGACTCCGCCACTGGTGTGTATCACCTGAACGACTTTAGCATCTGTCCGATTTAGTCTTTCACGTTTTGGTCTAGTATGAAACATAGGTCCACCGGGATCTAGAGCCACTATTCTCGGTAATTTTTTCCATGTTAACTTATGAACTGTTTTTCCGACAAACCCAGCAACTTGGCCTCCCAGTGAGTGACCAACAATGAGAATATTATTAAGCGAAATATGATAATTTCTGTGTAAGTGGACTACAAATTCTCCAATAACACGTCCTGAAACGTTCGAATATTAAAGTTCTAATCTAAACTTTTGTAAAGTAAGTATTAACTTTGCAACGACTTACCTACCGGTTTAGTGTCATATGACGCTATAATATAATCTTTAGCTCCATAAAATGACCAGTCTACTTCGATAATGTAATAGTTTGGGTTCTTTTTAAAGAAGGCTTGTCGTAAGAGTCGATACCACTCAGTTTCTTTGTTTTCACTCCAGCCGTGTAGAAAGAATACATAGAAGGCATTTTTTTTAATGAGTGGATTGAAGGTGGTAAGATTTACGATCACAGAATCTTCAGCTTTATTGGTGGCCCATAAGTAATATGTAATATTCTCGGCAACTATTTTGTCGCCTTGAATGGCCTTGTCTACAAATGCCACACCTGTATAGATGTTGAATATTTGTTGTTTTACTGGTTTAGAAACCTTGGTCCAATCTACAACTGCATCTGAAATCCAATTTCATTAATATTGCCAGTAATATTTAATACTTATATTGCAAAAGGAAAAAAATAGATTGGGTTGGCTTTAAAGCTTCAGTTAATGATTAGGCTCTGAGAACGTTACAATGTTTAGCTTCAAAAAACAACTTTTTTCAGCATTAAGAATGTTGAATATTGATTGAATTATTTTTCCAGGTGTCTGGTACACTTACCTGACTGTGTCAAAATATTAATTAAAAGCAATAAAAACACATTTCGTTGAAGCATCCTGGATGTTAAATTTTGCAACTCATGTTTCCAGGACAGCACTGAATTTATTTTGAAAACCAAAACCGACGATGTATTTCATAACCGTAGTTTCAAGCGATAACAACTATTTTAACTTACCAATATGACTGCCTTTATTTACTTTAATCAGTAGATATTTATTCAACAAGGTTAATGCTTCTAAAACTTCGGAAGCATTAAAATTCAGGTTTTGCTAATACTTATCGTCCTAATACAACTATTTTTAATGATCATTATTTTTCTTAGCGTGCAATGCTTGGTGCTTTATTGAAGAAAAAGAAACAATTGAGATGACGAGAGAAAATAGTGTTATAAATCATATTTTGAATAAAAATTGATTATGCTTATCATATGTTTAAAACATCGGCAAGATTTCAAAGCATTCGGTTTTGCAGATTCAAAATTAAATTGTAGGTGAAACGAAGTTCACGGAGTCAGCTAGTTAACCAATAAATTTACAGAAAAAATCAATTGTCTAGTTCTTGTAAATGAAAATATTTCGTTTTCACAACTTTCATGAAGCAATTCAAAGCACTTTGTTAACATAGTCAAAATTGGTTTTTATTTTGGATCAAAGGTTTTTGAGAAAAACTGTATCACAAATTATATCCTTGCCATACTTAAGACCCGTTTACAGAATATTTTAAGTCAGTATCGACATCTGATTTGTGTAGAGTCGGCCACATAATAGTTTAATATTATATTAAAAAATTTATTGCAAACAAATACTTAATTGAGCCTCAGCTTTTAGTATTTTATCATCGCTGCCAATATTTTCAGCAAAATTTGAAATTTTATAATACCGCTGCAACTTTTTAATAAATTTGCAACAAACACGAGACAGGGAGACACAGAAAGGAATTCCAGCATTTTTGTACTTTATATAGTGTAGCACATCGAAACATGAAATAGCTCCTTTAGTTCAAGTAATGAAAAAATGAAGATTATTCAATATTTAGCTACCTTCGTTTGCAAAAATACCCGTCAAAAGTAGAAACAATACTTTACTTTGCATAGTAAAGGTATCGTAGTTCTTAAACTAGGACACTCGAAGCGACTGCAGTTTTCATTGCAGAAAATAGTGACGTACATATATTATTATTATACAAATTTATTTATCAGGTAGCATGAATCACTTTAATCGAAATCGTGGGACATTTCTTTTTCGTTGATTCTTAACTGTACGAGGAGGCACTGGTAAGTTTCGAATTTCTCTATTAACAAGATTGGAAGCGGCTGTTGTGACAATGAGTATATTGTTTGACAACAATTTTGGAAACAAAAAATTAATCCAAATGCACACTGAATTTTTGCATACCTATATAAGAAAATGATCTGTTTACCAAAAAGAATTCAGACTGTCAAGGTCGCCGCTGCTTTGAAGAAACTTCTTTGGATTTTGTGGTATAAGTTTGGATCCATCATTACAAACCAGAAACAAAACAAAACGGAAGGGAGTGCTCAGGAAAATATACTTTTTTACAAGGTAACAATAAAAGCACCGTTGATTTAATTTGGGTTAACACTATGGTATTGAAACTTATAAACGATTTTTTCTACATTGCGTTAGGAAAGGCCTTATTGTTAAACCGAAAACAATGGAAGCTTTTGTGAAACTGTTTTTGGTAATTATTTTGCAATCTTGATTCCATGTTTTCTAGAACGTCAAATCTAACGCGTCAAAACCAAAAATTTGTTATTTGACAGCGTTGCCATCTAGATAGACCATGTCCGAAAAAACCCTAAATAATAATCGTGATCAGATTTTCTATTTTACTTAACAAAATCATGAGCAAAGTAGAAAAATGTATATTAGACTTGTGTAATAAGACATAGTGTAGCAGTCGCTGCGCTCGTCGTGCCCCGAACAACTTATCGTACAATAGAACGTCTTATTATTATTAAGACCCACCACTGACCCGGAAATGACAGGTATTCAGGCAAGACTTCTATCATTACGGGTACTAAGACCAAGTAATGATATGCATTGATTAGATTAGATTTATTTATTTATTTATTTATTTATTTATTTATTTATTTATTTATTTATTTAGTCCTCTTTAACTGATGAAGTTATAATCGAATACAGCAATAATAAATACTGTGGATGACTGGTTTGTAAACCAAAATAAAATAAAAATTTAAAGGCTTATAAGAACTAATTTCTGAGCATAGTAAGTATATAACATAAAAAAAATGCTTAAGCTGATAGAATAAAATGCACCAAAGTTTTCTATTTTGGGCTAAAGACTATCAACACCTCCCCGTACATTAAAAAAGTATTAACATTTATATCATGCAAATAATTTGAGTGCAGACTTGTACGACTTAAAGTGCGAAATTATCAGCGTCATTAATAGTCGGTAATTTATTCCACTTTTATTACTTCCAGGACGACTGCCTAAACTTGTATTTTAATGCTTATTTCCCTGTTCACCTCAGCTGTTTGAAATAAAAAAAATTATTACTACCAAAAATCCGATGACATGCTTTGACATTGAAATTAAAATCTTTTATTTATGAAACAATAGATTTACATCATATCTACAGCGCTGCTAAATAGTGAAAGGTAAAATGCATTCCTTTGCCAAAAATAAAACAAAATTTCATGCGAAATATGATGTTATTTTCTTACCTAAAGCACCAGATCTATTGAATAAATATATGAACACGAAATGAGTTTAAGGTTATATTTACACTTTTCAAGTAGTACATTACGACTTGATAAATATTGGTCAATTGAAAAAAAAACATTTTTTGCTTATTTGCTGAAATTTCAAATATATATTTTTGTCTGTGTTTATTTTTGCATACAGTCCTATTAATATGACGGTATTTCTTAAAACAAATTCGTATGTATTTCTAAAACACTTATTTTATGCAATTTTTAATAAAACATCGTACTACAAACTCGACAATTTACACGTGTGCCTACAATAACATTTTTCACAAATTTACCTCTAATAACTATTTATAGAAGAAAAAAGTAAAAACATATAGAAACAAAAATTTTGTAAGAAGACCATCACAGTTACACATATATTTCTAACGTAGTTCTTATTTCGAATATGGTGGTTTGTTGTTTGTTCTCAAGTAATATTTTCCAGTTTTATTGGTTTCTAAATTTGCTATAGTTTCATAATCGGCTTCACATGCATGCCTAGTGTACTGACGCCAGTTATCGCATTTTCTTGCTCTGAACTTTTTCGTTGTAGATATTCCTTCTATGAAATAACCCCAACTTCTCCAATGAGAGCAAAATACTAAAAAAAATCAACTTTACTCTTGCAGGTTATTGACTTGTTGTGAAAAATATACCTTTCTCTCTGATATCACACGGACTCAAGAAACTCTGGAAACCACAGCCGGATTGAAAGGTTCCGTTGTTCGGGAAAAAGTCAATAGTACCACAGGCCTCCAAAAATCCAAAAGCGCCCCCATTGGTATGAATTACATGTACAACTACAGCATCTTTTGGACTGAGTCTTTCACCTTCTGGTCGATTTTCAAATAAGGGTCCAGCGGGATCTAAAGCTATTATCCTTGGCAATTTTTCTTTCACCATTTCTTGAACTTTTTTTCCAACAAAACCGGAAATGTGTCCTCCGAGTGAGTGACCAACTACAAGAATATTAGCCAATGGGATGGCAAAGTTCTTACGTAAGTATACAACAAATTCTCCGATGAAACCACCTAAAATATATATTGGGAATTTTTGGGTCAAAATCGTTAAGGTTAACTGACCAATAAATTTGGTATCATATGATGCTATAACATAATCTTTCTCTGCGTATACTGACCAATCCACTTCAATGATGTAATAATGTGGATTACGTTTAAAAAAGGCATTTCTTAAAAGCTCATACCATTTAGTTTCTCTAGATTCAGTCCAGCCATGTATAAAAAAAATATACAGGGCGTCACCCGTGATGAGTGAATTAATGGTGGTAGAATTCACAATAGAGTAATTTTCAGCTTTATTTGTGGGCCACAAATAGTATTTAATATAATCGGCAGTTACTTTGTCACCTTGGACCCCCTTATCTACCAAAGCCACGTTCGTGTATATATCAAAAATTTGTTGTTTTGTTGTGTCAGAAGGGTTAAAATCTGTCTCTACAATAGAAACTATTAGGTATTAATATATTAATTCATAACGTTAATATGAATGCTGAATTTTTCAATGTTAGCTATTATTAAGGAGTGTACTCGCTAAAATAAACTTATTAATAGAGAGCGGATTTTATGAAATTTGCATATCCGTTATTTTTTGCATATTTTTTGCATATAAGTCTTGATATTTAATATGTGAACGAATCATGCTAATTAAAATGAATACAGCTATAAAAAAATTGCATATTTGCATATATTTGCCTTCTGCTGCATATTTCACAGAACGGGTGCATATTTTGCATTTTTATCAATTTTTGTGCAAATTTGAAAAAAAAAATATTGTCATCGGCATTTATTTAGAAAAACGAAATTTTATGAATCATATTGCAAATATTGTCCTGAGCTTCAAATAACTAGCAAAGGTTTGGGTTTTATGGTAGTTTGGAGACACCACTGGGTGTTATGCTATCCTTCCAGGTAAATTCGCGCCCTAATTACTTTTGGAAATACCGTTCATTCCCAATATTTTTGTTCGTGTATTAATGGTAGGACCTACGTTTAGTGATGGTCGAAGCAACGTTGTAGTATTATATTTCATAGTGAGTTTGTATTGAAAGCTTTTAAAGGGATACAGGTGTATCAATATGTCGAAGATAACTCAAATTAATTTATGGATTAAACATTTTCCTGAATTTGTTCTTCAAGAACGAACTGTGTTTTGTCGCGCCTGCCCTAACCGGTAAGTGTTTTTACATCTGTGGACGTAGTACGCAGTTTTTCTATTTACAAATATATATACTTTAGAATCACCGGAAAAACTTTTTGTTATAATATTTCGAAAAATATTTAAAAATAAATTGGTGCCAAAATAATAATAATAATCACAATAATATATTTTGCCCAACAGAATAAAAAATAGTAATTAAATAGTGGATTACTACTATTTTTTAATTTGCTCTGTTTATATTTATTTTTTAGTACAAGAATTTTATCTTTAAAAACGTGATTTATGTGTTAGTGAGATGTAACTAAACACCATGCAATGTGATTTATGTATTTTGTGTAATAGAATGTAAGCTCGGGAAACCTGTTTTTGTATTTTATAAATAAATTTAGTTCGCTTATTAAGCTTTTTTTTTTAATTTTTGGAGCATATACAATTGCATATCTCTGCATATATTAAGAAAGTTACTGCATATTTGGATAAATTTGGTGCATATCATATGATCATATTTCTCAAAATTTTGCTGCATATTTTCCCCTCTCTACTTATTAACTAAAATAGGTAAGACAAGAGTTACCATTAGGTATACTATAATTAAATAAAAAAGTTGCAGAATCTCAAACACTGATATTTCAATTTAACCCATTAAGTTAACCGATCAGAATGATAGTGCTAGATGCATTATTTGGGCAAAATTCGTATCCATAATTATGGTATTCAGTTGTTGCGCTTTTAGGACATGATTTGAAATTCAAAGTGTTGATAACCACATACACTCTTAGTATAAGCACATTTTTAACCTTATTGCGTTAACACGTGTAGGTTCATTCTGGGACATTGGTATCTTGTTTGATTCCAAACCGGAGAATGCTGCTTCATATGAAGGGAACATGTTTGTTTCAATACACTATAACTACATATACGGAGTCACAAGTTCCGCACAAAATTCATACATAATTTTGTTAATTGCCGTTTTCTTTTTTAATTTTATTTGTTATAATGACAACCGAATTTCTATAGTAAAGCTCCAACAAAACTATCGTCATTGTTCAAATTGTCATCCACCAACTAAATATTTGGCATATACGTTGGTGTAACACTTTATATTGCTCTTCAATGGCATTTGGGGTGATATTCTGTTCGAATTCGGTTCTTGAGATCGTCAATTAAGGAGTGTTAAATGTGGTGAGAAACTGTCTCACTTCCACGCCAAAATGCGGATATGCCCTATCTTCTTGGAACCAAATTCTCTGATTGAGCATATTATCACCATTTTCGTAGTTTGAAATTTAAATAGCATACAGCTGTTAACCTTTCGCCAAAAAAAGAAGGTCCTATCACACGATTCCCTAGCATTCCAGACCATACATTTATTTTGCTACGTGTGTCCAATGAAAGTTATTTCGGGACCAGTATTATTGACAAATATGGCAATTTACTGTTTGGTTTAAATTAAATGTCTTCATCGAAAAAAAAAAAAATTTAGAAAATTGACTGTTCCATCATACCATAACATCAAGTCTTCGCAAAATTTTAACCGTCGCTTCTGTCGAGATCGTTTTCATTTAACTCACAAATCAAGTCCACTTTATGCGGGTGGTATTTTTCTTTTTAAAAAAATTTTCTAACAAATGTGTAGTCGGTATTTGAGTTCAAAGCAAGTTGTTTTACCGAGATATGCGGACTTTTTTAGATTTCCAGTTTTTAATTTAGTGGTTTGAAGTACAGGACCTCGTCAAAGTCAGTCTCTTGCAATAATTTTGTTAAAATTCTACTTATTGTAAATCTAACAACTGGGGGTCTATGAGGGTATTGTTATTTAAATAAAGCACCTTTCCTCATGACTGCTTACTCTGGTACTGTACCAAACCATCATTAAAATTGCGATTCTCTCGAGTTCGGTTAATTGCACCCTGATTGTGATACTGATAAGTGATTAGGGCTCTTTTGAACAATGTGTCACACATTCCCTAAATACAGAGGAGAATTCTACATTGCAACATGAAATTAATGTGTATGGAACACGTCCTTTAGCACGGGAAGTAATATATAAACATTGAAAATTATGCAACTTTGTTACCTCCGAATGTAAAAATGCCCATCAAAAATAAAAACGACACTGTTCTGTGCATACTGAATACAGTTATTGGACTGGGAAACTCGAAGTGACTTAATTGCACCTTTTGTAATTACACAACAACAGTGCGTGTGCAATCGTGATACACATTTATTTAACACATAACATCAATCCTTTCAACAGAGTTGTCGGACGTTTGTTTCCCGTTATCATTAAATGTACATTAAAAATGTATTAAATTTGTGTTTTTACAATTTTTTCATTGCCGAATTTTATGACTTGAAGTACCTAAGTACTAATAACTACTAATTTATTCACCTCCATTATGCATTTTTTTAATTTCCAGGACTTCGGTCCATTCTGAGTTCAGCAGTAGGAAATCTTAGCTAGTGTACTAGTTTACTGAAAAAAATTAAGTAGTGCTAGTCAAGTTTCTTGGAAGAGACTTTGAAATTCACTTAATCTCCAAATTCCTAGAAAAAGAAAGAGAAGGTTCGGTTGCCTACATTTACAAAAAATACGCAGCTATTTCAGTTTTGCTTTCAACAATTAAAAAATGGTCGGAGGTTTTTTTCTATAGAACTTCCCTCGCCCCTGCAGTACGGTGCAACTTATCCAACTTTTCCGAAAATTTATATAATTTGATTTTTCGAATTTGCTTTTTTTATGAAAAGTTAAAATAAAGATATGTGTGCAGTAAAGGTAGGTAAGCTATTCGCCGGTTTCAAGTGAATTTTTACACTACAAGTGTAAAACAGTTCTGAATAAAGTGTGACTCATAATAATCGAAATATCAAAGAAAGTGAATTGTTAATGGCTGCCAGCATTGTTAGGTCTGGTGATATATCACCAGATTTGGTGTTTTTTTCACCTACTTGGTGCCTTGGTGATTATTTTTAGAAAAATAGATACATCTGGTGACAAAATTGTCAAAGTCCCAATTCTTTACTTCATTGTTTACAAAAGTCCTGGCGAACCATTTTTTGTTTTTTACTTCCCGAGCATAAGCAAAGGAAGTATTGTAATCGAGTCCGTCGGCCGACTCTCTACTTTTACGTTTTCTCGATCTTTCATGACCCCTAGAAGACGAAGAAATAGGTCTCCCATTTCCGTCTATCTGTCCGTCTGTCCGTCTGTCTGCCGTCCCGGATTTTTATTAGACAGATAATCTCTGAAAGTACTGGACCGATTGTTGTGAAATTTTGTACTTATATTAGGAATATCATGTAGATGGTAAAACGCTAACCAAAATTTGTCTAATCATCCCCACCACTAATGCGATGACGTCACTTCAAAATTGTACATAGTAAATGGGTTTTAAATTGTATAAAATAACATAGTCCTACACATGTAGTTTACGACTTCGAATTGAGTTTTGACCCGAAACGTCCATATTTTTGGAAAAAAAATCAAAATTATAAAACAACATTTTGCAATTTAATTTTGAATCTGCTAACCCGAATGCTTTGAAATGTTGCAGATGTTTTAAGATTATAAAAAGCATAATAAATGTTTAGTCAAAATATATTTGCCTATCCCCTCCAAAAAATTGATGACGTCACCTCAAAAAGTTGCCGAATAAATCCTATCTAAACTGTACAAAATATGGTGAATCTGGACTTGTGATTTATCACTCCATTCATATTTTTTGGATTTGCATATAGAGGATGACTCAAAAAAATTAATGAATGCGTAAATTTATTTTATTGATTTACTCAGAAACTACAAAACCAAATGCTTTGAAATCTACTGCGAAAAAAAAACATATAGGCATGCAGTCGTCACGTTTCCGACAGCGAGGAAAGTACTGTCTAAACTCTTTACACCAATTTTTTCAATAATGTATGAACCTGCGGCAAATCCTGTCTTCGGACAGACTAACAAAATTATGAATATCGATAGTGGAACAGCTAGCAGTGGATTAATTATACAAAACTACACATTACGATCCTGTATTTTTAACATTACTTTGCAAAATAAATAAAAAGAAAATATTTTGAATTTTTAATGTATTCACAATAATTGAAGAAAAAATAGTATACATCACTATGAGTCGACGCTCTTTTTTTCTTTCATCTAGATTGCATTGCCTCAGCTAACGCCTCGGCCGCAATTATCTAGATTCAACAAAAAAAGAATGCGTTCTACTCCTAGTAATATAATATATTATTATGTTTAACTCAATCATAACGATCTCATTTAAGACACTTCCAACAGTCCATAATCTACCACGAAAACTAACAGATGCACTCAAAATGTACTTACTGATTAATACCTTCGGATTTTAGGTCGTTAAAAAATTAATAAAAGGAGACATTTTTAGGTCCCAAAATTGACGAATTTGGTTATAAAAATCTTAACTTTGCTCAACGAAAAAGCATACATCAAAAAAATATATATTTAAAAAAAAACATTAAACGAAACACTATAGAAACAAATATTTTGTGTAACAAAAAAAAATGATTAAATAAATAAACGATCTATAGTTACGTCCACTAATTCTAAGTTATCGCAAAAAAATGGTGATCAAATTAAAACAAGTCGCATTTAACAAAAACTAAAATATTAATTCAGGTATTTAAAATGAGTTACAAAAGCAAACTATATATTTCTCTAAATTTTCGATTGTAAATTTACACCTTTGATCGCTTAAAACACTTTTAAGTTTTGAAAACGTGCGTTCCACATCACAAGAAGTGATGAGAGCAAAATTAAATATTGAACAATCTACGTTTTCATTTATGTACCTATGTATTGTTGGTAGCATTTCCATTACCGCAAATTACGTTATTTACTGAGCATATAAAATTGTGTCCTGGATTCTTTTTTAATAGAGAACATAATTTTTGAAACGCCATTTCCCCCACCTTTCCTGGTGTGTTTTTAAAAATGTATACACTTTTTCCACAATTTCCGTACTTTGGTTTAATTTTAAACCTATAGTTTCTAATTGTTCTATTGCATCAGCAATAATTTTGAAGTGAGTTTTAATGTACAAGACTTCATTTTTAACGTTTGCTTTATTCAGGAATTCTTGAGTTTTTTTAATGCTTTGTGGATCTGTGGCTTCAAATGACATTACAACCTAAAATATTCAATATAAGAATGATAGTAAAAAACCATTATATATTTACTGACTTGTTTTAAAACATCAAAGTGTTCTGCATAAAACAATGCTGCTTGAATCCAAGTGCCCCACCTGGTTAATGCAGGTTCAGGTGGGAGAGGTGTATTTGGTAAACTGTTTTTATAAAACTCTACTCTTATTGGTGCTTTTAAAAAGATTTTCTTAGCATTGCTAATTATCCGTTTGATATCTGGATAATTTAGTCTAATTGTTTGAAATACTAAATGTAACCCATGTGCCAGACATGTTAAGTGTGTTATATTTCATAAAACAGCCTCAAATTAGTACCAGTTTTGATCATGTATGAAACACCATCTGGTAAATGCCCTACATAAATCGGTGCAAAATTGCGTAAAATCATTGTCGGAACGAATGTTTAATAAAGTCTGTTTACTGGATTTATTCTCGTTCTTTTTATGCGCATCGCCACTGCAGTGTTGTTCAAAGTGTGATTTTTTTTCGCACTTAAACTAGGAAACAAAAATGTGAACATAATTCAAGCTACAGTATTTCAAATGTTTACTTACAACTTTTCCACACACTTTGCAGAAAAACTCGTTGTCTTTGGTTGAAGAAGGAAATTGAAAATTAGTGTCTGTCATATAGTGTATATAGTAGTGGGGAATAAAGGAGTATTAACTGGGCACTCGTTGTGGCTGCTACCCCTCCACGTAACACATGGCGCAGTCGGTAAAAAGTAAAAGGTCATAAAGGTGACCGGGAGACAAAAGCGGGAGAATAAGGCGAAAAAGGAAGCAAGGAGAAGAAATAAAGTGAGTTAGTGAGTTCCTCAGTGTGGAAAAATTAAAAAGTTGTGGAACTGCCCAAGAAATCTCAAAATATGGAGAAAGATGCAAAGGTACCTGCAGAGCTCAAGTTATCAGGTGATAAGGCAGCGGAATGGAAATTCTTCGTGCAGAAATTAGACATATATATGAAAGCGGCGAAAATCGATAAAGAATCTGAAGAGTATAAATGTGCAGTAATGCTAAACTGCATTGCAGATACTGCTTTCAAAATCTATAATATAATACCTTCGAGTTCAAGAGCGGAGAAGAAGGAAAATTCA